AGTGCCCTTACCTTTGATTTGAATAGAATTGACGCTTTTCTAAATAAAATGAATGATTTAATATACATACCACTATCTGCTTCCCATTTGTAACTGTGGAATGCATAATTTTTGGCTCTTTAAATAAAATAAGTGATAAATAATACAAGTTTGATTTACTGGTGTGCAGCATTTGATGTGGTCTTTGAAATTTAAGCTTAAGTAGTAATACTTTGTGAAATGGTCATTTTCTCATAAAAATCTGCCCAGGCGTCCTGTATCATAACACATTCATATTCCTGTTACAAGATTTGTTGGTTAACAAGCATTTGGAGGTGTTTCTTGTTCCAAATCTTGAGCTCAGCATGGTCTGTTAAAAATAAGTTTTAAAATATCATAAAACGACTATTCAGTGCTCACTAGAACTGCAGGGAACATTCTTTTCATGTTTTAGCTCTGTATTTTATTGCCTGTGCTTATCTAGTGAGACTGTCACATATGTCAGATGGTCCTCTTCATTAGGATGAAAAATGAAACAAATGATGCTTTTTCCATTACTTTAAATCCTGAAATAGCGAAAATATATACACAGGGCATCAGAAGAACAAGGTGTTTTCTTTTTTCTAACATAGTTTAAAAGTGCAACGCAGACAACCTAAATCCAGCTGGGAATAATGTGGATCATGGTGTTATTAGCCAAGTAGATCTGAAGCCCCTGTGTAGAGCAGAATATTTACAAGTAAGGTTAAGGTGGAACATATATTTGATGCTCTTGCCTTAAATCTTCTTCTTTGAAGGATATGATAACCGCTTGTTGACTAAGTGGTTGTATTTTTTTTATCTGTAATACATTATTGTTTAATTTGAAACCATTTAATTTGAGACATTTTTATCTCAATTAAGTATTTTAAATTTCACACATAATATCCCTAATATTAACAATACTCCATGTGTGATCCTGCTCATCTGATTTATGTAATTAAAATGTTCTGTCATATGAAATATATTGTTTAAGACAGATTTTTATATTTAAAAATTATCTTTAGTAGTAGCAGATAATTGCTTGTGAATAGTTTCCTGATTGTTATTTTTCAAAATGTTTAATCACATCTATAATTCTATGAGATTAAACAAATTAATGACTTAGAATTTGTGTATAAGTGCATGTAAGATTTTTATGATCACTTTAGCAAAAGATTTACTTAAAAGCAAATTAATAATAAATGAAAACATTTAAAAATATACTTTAGTTTTTCATTTATGATTCTAAATTATTTAATTAAAGCAACCATCCTCATTTTTTCTCACTTGTCTTTTCTTCAACGTCTTACTGACATTTTGACTCTATTAATGTGGTCTTTAAATTAAAAAATCTTAACATTTGAAAATAGAACAAAGTACTACAAGCATTACTACATTAATTGAGTGTGGGCAATATAAAATGAAAAACTTCAAAATCTCTGATGTTTTGTTAATAGATATGTTGAGACCATTAATACTGGCTTTGGCCACATCCCTTTTGAGGCATGATGTAGTAGCACAGCAATTATAGGACGACAAAATATAAAGTCCGATCTTGCACACTGAATATTGGTTTATAATGTTGAGGAGGGAAAAACCATCCCATTCACTTGCAAACTGGTAAGAAATAGCAGAATTTAGCACAAGACCACAGTATTTTACCTTCCTGAGTAAGTACAAGGATGATTTGATTTACTACATTTACCATCTTATTTAAATGTATATAAAAAATAAATATTTTTAGCAAATCTATAATTGGGAAAACTTTCAAGTGTTACAGGGTGATAAGTGCAGACTTTTTTAGTAACTAGGATTAAACCCAGGAACATCACAATGAGTCCAGGGATCAAACTCATGACCTTTCACTTGCAAGGCAGGCACTTACGCCGCTGAGCTAAATCTCTTCATTCTCCTGGCCTCTCCCTCTAATTTCTTTTTTTCCCAGGAGCCTTCAAGTAACAATATATCAATTCCTTTTCTCTTTTTTTATTTTAAGACAGGGTCTTGCTAAGTTACCAAGTTGCTTAAACTAGACTTGAATTTATAATCCTTCTGCCTCAGCCTCCCAGAGTACTGGGATTATAAAAGTGTACAACCACATCCAGTTTAGCCTTTCTGTTTTAAGACAAATAAAGAACAAAGACCATATCAAAGGTTGAGAAAGAAAAGATGGCGGATAGATAACAACTGGCTACAGAGGCTCCCTGAGATAGTCAACTTAGAATTCAACATAATACAGAGTGGGGAGCCCCAAACAGAGGGAGATGAATTCTCTCATCCCAAGAAGAAATTAAGGTGAGAAGAACCAACCAAACATACAGTCCTGGTGCTATTATTGGAACAGCTAAAGGTTCAGTGTTCCCACTGCACCAGGAAACTTGCTGACCATCCAAGGTCCCAATGCCACTTGCCAAGGTCCCGCCACAACTTGCCCAGCCAACTGAGGTCCCACTGCTTCGACTTACTGGGGAGGTACAGTTACACTGAGTTCTGGGATCAGCAAGCCAAACAGAGAACCAAGTAGGCAGGGTGCCTACATTGACCTTTGGTGACTGATGGGAATGGAGCCATTCCATAGAAAGGGGGGCTCTGGTGGACAACATTCTGGGACCGGGCAGGAATAGCAAGTATAAGGACTTGACTTCAGTCAAGTGACTGATAGCAGTGACTTCAGTCAGTTGTTCCCTTCCCGAACGGGATTGGTGGAGTGAGCCAGGCCTGGGTCATGTGACAGTGCAGGCCACAGCGGCTTGACTGACCCAGAGAGGAGGGTCCAGGATACCCTGTCCCTGTCTGCAACTCACTAGCACATAGCAGTGAGTAGGGTCATCTAGCCAGTGTGCTTCAGAACAATTGTAACAAAGAAAGAAACTGGGGCCTCTGGGAAGAAGTAAAAAAGATCTGAAGAGGGAGCAACAACAGAAAGTCCTCAGGTCTCAACCCTGAGAACATTGACCCCGGACAGGTAAATACAAAGGAGAATGAGAACAGCAAACATGCAATATCAGACACGGTGCCAGTGGACATAAAGAGATATTTTTGGGACCTTGGGATGAGTTCAAAAGTGAAATATTTAGCCAAGTAAAGCAAGATATAAGGAGATTAATAAAAGAGATACTAAGCACCCCTCAAGCAGACACAGACAGAAGAAGGGAGGAACTCAAACAAAGGAGAGAACCATTTGGTGAAGAATATAAAAAAATATAGAATACATGAAGCAGGTTCAAAGAGATTACCAGGAAATTAAAAACCTCTATGGAAAGATGGCAAATCAGCCTGAAAGAAACAAAAGATAGATTATCCAAACTGGAGGACTGATGTACTGATATATTCAATTATACTATGTCTGATGATATAGCCAATTCTATTGGAGATAACAAGAGACAACACAGGAACCATGGTAGAACTTTTTGCACAACTGTCTTATGTGTTTTCACTTCATGTGTTTATAGGAATATGTTTTGTTTTGTCTTGCTTTGTTTTGTTTCTCCCTCTAATATAGAAAGGATAGAAATACCTGTTAAGACTCATGTATGTGTAGAATCTATAAACAGTTTATGAGAACTGATCATAGGACATATGATGAAATGAACAGATACTTTGAAGAAAAAGACACACTAAAGTACCCAGTGCGGATCCTGGAGGGGTCATAATGTGAAACCCAGGTATAGTATTATTTTTTGTTCAGAGTGATATTAGCCTGCTTGGGTTTATTCAATCTCAACATAATTGAAGATATGGATAACTGCATGTAGGTTTAAGTGTATAGGATTGATAACCATATTTCTAAGTTTTTGTTGGATAGTTGAACAGAACTGGTTGCAATCTCACTGTTTGAATCCCCACTTTATATGCTCCACTTTAGTGTCTTGAATAATTATTTGTAATAAGACAATCTGTAATCATCAAATAGTGATTTTTGTTTATTTTTTTCTTTGAAATTTTGTATTATTTTTACCTATTTTCTGTTTTGTTTAGGCTTTCTTTAAATTAAATTAAAAAAAAAAAACTACAGTACCCAGTGCTGATCATGGAGTGTCATGATGTGAAATCCAGCAATACTATTATTCTTTGTTCAGAATGATTTTAACCTGTTTTAGTCTGTTTAATCTAAACATAAGTGAAGATATGGATAACTGCATGTATGTTTAAGTGTATAGGATTGACAACCATGCTACTAAATTTTTGTTGGACAATTGAACAGAACTGTTTGAAGTCTCACTTTACATGTTCCATTTTTGTATCTTGAACAATTATTTGTAAACCAACAATATGTAAACATCAAGTAGTGATTTCTTACTGTTTTTTTCTCTGAACATGTATTATTTCTACCTATTTTCTGTTTTGTTTAGTCTTTCTTTAAATAAAAGTAAAAAAAGATTGAAGAATATAAAATTCTTTATGTCTTGCAATCTGTTGAACACATGAATGTAAAAAGTAAAATTATAAATCATTACTTAGTACTCCATCATTTTGTATTTGAATGTACATTTGAGAGTATGTCTCATATCAGAAAAGTGGAGGTTATCAAGATGGCTGTGTCTAGATCAGTGTGGAGGGGCGTATAGTGGAGTTAGTGAGAAGCTTTTGGAAGCCCTCTTCTAGATGTACATGTGTAACAGTTTTATCTTGTAAACATAGTGTCCAGTGGAAAAGAGTAAGGAAGCAAAGCCACAAAACGGTAATATCATGTAATTAAAAATAAACAATCAAATCATTGTTCCAACATAATACAAGGTCATATATATATATATATATATATATATATATATCCAGAGATACATTAATTGGAGTGGGTGTCTCCTGAGGATAGTGAGGAAACAAATATGAGAATTAGGATGAATGAAAAAATAAAATGAGGACCTTGAAAAGATCAATAATGAAATGTGTGATTGAGTCATACTTTCTACTAGATAGCAAAAGAAAAAAGGATAGAAACATTTTTGCAAATCTCATGAAACTAAATGCAATAATAGGTGCACACCGTAATCACCAAGGAGTCACTATTTAGATTTTATTTATTACAATCATTGAAACCAAAAAAATACAGAATTAACACATATCACCTGTAGTGAATTCATGCATGCCCTCAATATTAGGACTTCATCTCTATGGTTCGAAGGGACATCGGGTGTGCTGGGATCAGCAAGAAGAGTTGGCCAGTTATCACAGCAGGAACAGACGGTGTACCCTGGACACCACCTACACGTACTTCTGTCACATTAAAAGTTTTCCAAATGATAGCACTAAACCTAATAGTTGAGACTATTATCTAAAGCACCTAATGTTATACAATTATCAGGTGAGAATACAGGGTTGACTTTTGCATTCTAGCTAAATAACTATAATACTCTTTGTCCTTAAAAGTGTGTGTTGTAGAAAATATGTTTGCTACCCATTCAAATAATATGATTATTTGTCATTGAAGTCAAACTTGAACATTTCAGTAAATATATTCTCAACAGACAGGGATTGCCACAAAATATGGATAATTAGAAATAGTTTACTTTGACACAGAATGCGGGAACTGCAGTTTTCTATGTAATGATATCAATCAGATTTCTGCTTCTCGCTCTTGCCAAATTAAAATCAGATGTGATAAGTCACGTAGCCTTTCACTCCTAGAGAGCCCATGAAGGTCTAGGTGGCTAATCCTTAGTGTGGCTTTGTCTTAACTGCTCTTAAAACAAAATTCCATTTGCTGTTCATTTGTTCCAGCCGCTCTTTTTTGAACCTGTCTTGAAAAGAAGAGTGGTTATCTTCATCCTCGGTCTCAGAGATGATCTCCATCTTCTGAATGATGAGTTTAATAAGTTCATGCTGCTTTTCTAAGAGTGAAGTGAGGTCTTTCAGCCTAAAAGAAAAATGTCTATTTTGTGAATTTATTTTCAGTTCTTCTTTTGTCCTCTGAATGCATGGTGGCATAGTTGCTAAGAATGTTTTCTATCTGATTAACTACTTAGATTACAGCCTGGTAGTATTTATAACCACTCAACAAATACATATTTTTGAAATTCAAGTGATTTTACCAAAGTTCCACAAAAGTTCCTTTTACAAAGGAAAGTTAAGTACCTTCTCCAAGGGCCACAGAGTTAGTAAATAGTTCAATAAGGCTTTTTTGGTTTTTTGGTGGGGTGGGGGTAACACAAATTAAACTCAAAGCTCACACTTGCCAAGCAGGCATAGTGCCACTGAGCTATACCTCTGGCCCCTTGAATAGGGCTTTAAACTCAGGTAAACAAACTCTACAACCCTCATGCTTAATTCCATATAATTATTCCAAGGATCTTCAAAGAGTGCCAGAGGTTTGCTGTATAAAGTCAGATGAGTCATGAAGAACTCATCAATTATAGTATTTTCCAGACTGAGGAAATGAGCATTTTGATTTTCACTCATCTATTCCTTGGAAATCAAACTGGGAACAGCAGCAATAAATTGTTAAGTGTAAGAGATCTCACGATTCTCAATATGCTACCTATGCAGTCAAAAAAGTATAACTAAATTTAGAAGATAAAGAATGATATACTATGTAAGTGTGTACTCTGCATTGTTACTTAAGTTTTAGTTTTTCAAATACAAATAGAAGGAAAAATACATACCGGTATTTCTGTTTCAACATTTCTAATTCTAAACATGTATCAGTATTTGGCAATTCTTGTCTTGTTTCTTGGACACCAAAAAAATAATGAAATAAACGCTGTGGGATAATATATAATAGTTACTGAAGGTGATTCAGTTCAGGAAATATCTGCTGTACATATGCCAGAATCCCACCATCATGCCAGGCTCAATAGCACAAATATTCACAAGCTATTTCTGTGGTCCTCAAAGAGATTACAGTCTGCTCTGATGAACAGCTATTAAAAGCTACACAGTGAAGTCATACATAAACGAAAAAGAAAAATTGTACAAATAATATCAAAGACAAAATGGTCTAGAGGATTGTTTGTAAAGGGCTGAATGGAATACTTTTATGAATTCTCATGAAAATTATGGTATCCATTGTTGACTTTCCTATTGTCTTGTTTTGAAGTCATGTAATGTTTTCAATCTTTTGTTTTGATTGGTTTTATACTATTTTGTGTTGTTTGAATTCATTGTGTATCAAGGTATGGACAACTATTTTGAAGAAAACAAGAGACATTATGGTAGCCACTGTTGGTTTCCTGTTGTCTTATTTTGAAATCCTGTGTTTCTTGAAATCTTGTGTTTCATGCATTGTTTTCTTTTAGTCTGCTTTATTCTGCTTTATTTTGTTCTATTCTCTTTAAATAAAAAATATTCTCATGAAAAATGGCCACTATGGGTGGTGCTATTCTATACAAGATTTTTCAATTCTTTAAAACATCTTCAAACCTTTATCCAACACAACCAAACCCAGGAACAAAAGTTCGCATAAAGAAATTTATAAAATGTAATTTTAGTAACTTAGTTTAAAAATTGATGTGTGTGTGTGTGTGTGTGTGTGTGTGTGTGTGTGTGTGTGTGTGATACTAGGGATTGGACCCAAGGCCTTGTGTATGTTAGGCAAGCACTGTACCACTGAGTCAACCTCTCAGCTCAATTTAGCGTCCTTTAAACCTTGGGTGGACTAAAGAGGGTCAAGGGCAGGTGCAGATATGAAATGATCAAGCATGAGATAATTCTAGGAGTCCAGGCAAGAGAAGATGCCCACTTACATGGGTCACTCAGGAAGTTAGTGGTCAGAAGAAGAGACAGAGTGAACCTGAGCAGAGAGGAAGTAAGAGGAAGCTGTCAAGGCCGACTCTGGTGTGGCTGGTTTATCAGGGAAATGTTGACATTAATCACAATGAAGAACATTTGAGAGAGGCTGGGACTTTTTCACTCTTTCCCTGATAGGAAAAAGATGTGAGACAAGAATGGAGTTTGGTGTTGAACACATTGAATTTGAATAGCTTTGAGACATAAAAGTGAAGCTGTCAAGTAGACAGCTGGGTATGTACTCCTCAAACCCACAGACAAGCTCTTGGCTGGAGAAATGCATTGCAAGCATTTTGTGTTAGGTAGTAATTGGAACTAAGGACATAAGTGAAATAGAACATGGCAATGGTGTGAGGTTAGAATAAACCCTAGACAGAGACTTAGGTCAATTTTATTATTTTATGACTACACAAAGGAAAACAAACCAGAAAAGAATTCAAGAATAATCCTAGAGATGGGAATCCCAGATCTGGTCAGGATTAACACCCAGAACTGACTCTTAATACGCCCATTTTTCCATAATAATGTACTGGTCCAGGTTGGTCTCTGAGTCATTGTGTGTATTTTCTATTGGAGCACATTCTTCATGTATGTGCATATATGAGTTCTTATTGTACGTTCTATATATATGCTTAGATATATACACCCACATACATATGTATATTTATGTAGACATAAATGTAGGTGGCAAGTGATTAGGAAATGCAAAGTATACCTGTGCCACACTGAAAAGGCATGGCTGGGTCCCCTACCTGTCTGATCTCACAGGGACGTGGGTTGTTTAACACAGGTTATATATGAGCTACCTATAAATGAAGACCATCTCCCTCCTCAGTGCATGGCACTGTCAACATTGCACTAGTCACTTACTTTTAACAAAAGTACAGCTATTTCTTTCCCACCAGACAATTAGAATCAAAGTCTATAAATAAAGATACTATAGGAATAACACAACAAATGAATGTCGAGTGGTTTCACATTATTTAGGTCGTCGGTTGCCGATATACTTACTAACACTGGTCCATATCTAGGTCTGTTGGGATACACGATGGTGGACTTCTGATCCACTCTGCGTAAGAACCAAATGGGCAGCTTTTTTTCTAAACTGGTATGAAGTTCTACCTAAAATGCATTTTGTATTTGTTGATAGAATTATTGATTAGTATCTGGTAAACTTACAGAACACAAAAGCCATCATTAGTATAGCAAAATGAAAACTGATTTCTGGGTCATGATTAATAAACAGCATTGGGCTGAGCAAGATTCATTAGCTCTAAACTCAGTCACAGACCCCTTCCTATCACATCATCTACCAACAAGACAAGGAACACAAGCAAGGGTGGGCGAACAAGTTGTTAAAGAATTTAACACAGTGGGTGTTTATCATTCAGACTATGATCAACATTGAAGCTACAAGGAAAAAAAAGTTGTTCTACAAAATATGCACAGCTAGGAGGTCCAAAAAGTATGAATGGTATGAATACACTCGCAAGACAAGAGAACAGAGTGCTGAACTGGGGGAATACAAAGATAAGCAGTAAAAAAAAATGAGAACCACTATATCTAAAAGTATTCATTGAAACTTAATGTTATACTGTCAGGTGCAAAATGTTTTATTCATGACATACATTAAGTATAATTTTTATTTTCTGGGATACAAATATTTTGTCGTATCATTATTTTTGCTTCGAGTTAACATTTAGTTTAATTCTCATATCTTCAATCTTTGTTTCTGTATTTTCCAAATTTATCTTTTACTTTTTAAAACCACCATTCACTCTGTATTTGTGTTGTTCAGATATGCTTATTGCAAGTACCACACAGTGAAACTTGCTTTCTAATCTAAAACTGTATGTAGTACACACATTAGGTGATTTATAGTCCAAGTGAGATGGTAAAAACTTCCCAGACTACACTGATTAAAACTGTAGTCTCCATTGCTTCCTATAATATGCACTAATTATCTGGCTTTTCCTTGCTATTTTTATATGCCCACCACCCTTAATATAATGTATTTTAGTTCTGATTTCAAGAAAAAAAAACTGTGTCTTCTCATACTTTGTTTACAAGTTACATATGTTTTTGATTTTTCATAATCATTTTTAAATTCCCTTTCCTCCCTTGGGTTTTTAGGGTACTACTTTCACCTTGCCATATATTTTTTGGAGGTCACATATTATCATTTATTCACTCAAAGTCAATTGAAAAAGATTTATTCAACCCCAGTGTTGGCCAACAGTTAGAGGACACGGTATGTCTTCACTCTTTTCATTGCCTACACAGCAGTGGCCAGGTTGCACCTCTAACAGAGCTGGGGAGGCTGGCTAGCAAAGCTCCAGGTCTCATGTGCAGCCTGGTGGGACCCGCTGAGCATGACTTTGCATGGTCTAAGATTAAATCTTTGCCTCCCCACCCTGTGAGTTTTCTCCATTGAAGAGTAGGATGTGCTCCTTTCTTAATTTGTGGCAGGGAAAGAAACATTTATGGAATGTCTAGGGTTGGTGTTGTATTGGGAAGTGCAGAAAACAATGTTTAAAAGCAGCCAAACAACTTCAAACCCCTCCAAATGCGATTTCCATCCTCCAGGAACCCACAATGAGGTATCATGAAGCACACATTGCCCCAGGGTTTCTCCAGTTCCCAGTGCTTGTGAAATGAAGCAGGGAGAGTCTAAATGGGCCTCGATGGCACACACTGCTGCCTGCTTCCCTCTGTCCCTGTTCTGTTGTGAGCTCTGACTTAGACTTCTAAATGGATGCAGAGAGTTGCTTAAGAAATAACTCGGGAAAGAGGAGAGAATGTTTCCCTGCTTCTACTCGGTGCTGTTCTTAGTCCAAAACACGGAAGAAATGTTGGAGTCCTTGGCACTCCGTAATTTTAGGGAACGAACACAGTATTGGATGATGCATTTTCACTCAACCTTACTGCTTCACAAAACATTGTTTCCATTTGTTATTCTTTTTCATTATTTATGGTATTTTGAAGCATTATTAAGACAGTTATGAGGTACTGTACTGCTGAAAGGCCCACATATTCTCTCTCCCCGTCTGTCCACCAGGAGCCCTAAAGTCCATCTGTGTTAAGACTAATAACCTACCATTAGGTCTTCTTTCTAATCTTTCCCCCACTAAACCAACCTCAAGGCACTTCCCCCACTTCTGCTTTGGCTCCTTTCTCCCACTGAGTCAGTTCTTTCTCATTACTTTTTTAAAGTCTACCATTTTTTCATAAGGAGTCAGCCTACTCCCTCTACTTAGCATTGCTTGAATTATTTTTGCATTATTTTCTGTATACAATTAACATTTAATTATATGTTTTTTGTTCTCTAAGTCTTCCAGGCTCTATGTACAAATGCGCAGCTAAGTCACAGAGCATGGAACTTGAGAATGAGTCTAAAGTGATTTATATTTCATCCTCTGAATGCTTAGCTGGTGTGAAGAGTGGGCATATTTTACTTAATAAAGACCACATTCTTTTACTTCCTATGGGTAACCTTGCTAAGTTATATTGCACTTTGTATATGTCACATGTTGAGGCATTGTTTTCTGGACAAATAAAGGCTAATGTGTAGAGAATAAAAGTCAGAAGTATTGTGATTAAGAAAAGAAAGGATGAATGTGAAAAGAAAGTTCTATCTTAGTATGGACATTTCTTTCTCTTGAAATGGTCTAAATATCTGAATGTGTGTACACAACTGTTCATTAGGTATTCTTGAAGCATTGAACCTTCCCATTCAAACTTGAAATTTAAAGACAATACAATTAAACTTATAGAAATAACTTGGAGTTGTATGACATGGAACTACCTCACAAGATTCAGTAGCCAATTACCTATCTTGAAACCTCTAATAAATTTTAGAACAAATTATCCAGAAAAACGAGAGGATATCACAAAAGAAAAACACTACATGGATATGGTTAAAACTTAAACATCAAACATGCTGTTGGGACCCTGTAAGTTCCGTATCAAAGTATCAGGATCTTCTTTGAACAGCTGGGCTAGACAAAATACAGTACTTCAGTGAAGCTTCTGGTCTAGCAGTTAGCTACCCATCTGGCCGGATGTTGACCCAAATAGAGGCTCAGGTAACTTCTCAATTTCTATCATGAGATTGTTCTAGGTTATTTTTTATCACTCCTGATACTTTGATTATACAAGAAAACACACAGAGAAGGGATTGTATAGCTCAGTATTGAGAAAATACCCACATTATATAACACTTTTCTCAGAAACTCAGCTATTCTTGCATGCAAATAATTGCAATAGTGTTATTTTTTCTAAATGTTAAATAAATATAATACTTACTTGCATAGCAATCCTTTTCAATGATGCATGTTTCTGGACCTCAGCAATGTCACCAACTGCTAAACCAATCTAAAATATTAAAATATGACACAAAAGTTAACCAAGACATTGTAATTGTCCACTTAAAAATGTACCTAAGGTTTCAGTCCATTCAATCTTGCACAATAAAATATCTTAAACTGAGTAATTTATCTATACAACACAAATCTATCATCCACAGATCTAGAAGCTGGGAATCCTGGAATAAAGACACCAGGAGATTTAGTGTCTGACGAGGGCCCATTCCTCAGAAAGAGTGCCTTCTATGAGTTCTCACAATGTAGAATGTAAAAAGGATCTCAGAAGCTTCTTCTTGTGTTTTTCAAATAGGAACAAGTCCTATTCATAAAGGCTTATAGCTTAATCATCTCTCAAAGACCTCACCTTTGATTACTATCATTTTTGTAATTATGTGTCCACATGTAAATTTTGGAAGGATACAAATATTCAAATCATAGCCAGACCTTTCTGACCAAAGTGGAGGAGTGAACATGCGGTCTACTAGTAATGACTATGTAATATTTGCTACACTGTACAAAAACTGAAAAGCCTATATAATTTTTCTGAATGAATAGTGAAAAAATATATTAAAGAAATTTCAGACTAGCAGCAAGAATCACGAGCTCAGCAGAGGCTTTATTTGACAGTGTTATAGGTTTTAGTGTTTTGTTTTTGAAATTTTTTTTTGTTTCAAAGAGAATAAAACAAAACAGAACAAAGCAAGTAAGAACAGAATAATGCAACAACACGTAGGTATGGTCAACTATTTTGAAAAAAACAAGAGACATTATGATAGCCACTGTTGATATCTTGTTTTGGTGTTTTGTTTTTTAATACTGGAGATTGAACCTAGAGCCTTCTCACTAAGCTACCTCTACAGCCCTGTTTTTGTTTGTTTGTTTGTTTGTTTGCTTTATTTTTTTAAATTTTTTGCTTCAAGCAGATATCTCACTGAGTCAGTAGTTGCCCAGGCTGGGCTGTAACTTGTGATCCTCTTGCCTAAGTACACAGATTCCTGGTATTACCATAACATGCCACTACACTCAGTCTTTGGTTGTTAATTTGCCTTCCTTTCAATGAAAGTTCTCTCTGGGTCTCAAGAAACCCCATGAAAACTAATCATCTCTTACTTAGTGCCTACAAAAATATGTATATAAAACATCTATAAATGGATTTTTAAAAACAGTTTCTATGGTACCACTTAGGACTCTCCATGGACCTGGAACTGTGATCCACTTCTGCCTGCATCAGTAAAATGCTCTTTGTTTGATAAAAGTCTCTGGAAATTCCCAAGTGGAAAGGTATGTCAAATCTGCCTTTGACCTGGTTAGATATGACCATGTTGGATGACAGATTTTTCCCTGTTTAAGTACTTAATCGGTGAGAGATTCAAGGGTATAGACAATACTCTCAATAAAGTTTCTTCCTAACCTTTGACCCCCATCTCCAACCCTACAGTAACCCACATCTTCATGTTTATTGTCTTACTGAGCTCCCAGTTCTTATTTTGCATTTTACCCCCATTTTATTGTCTTATATATTTATTTATTACCTACTTTCCTGATTAGTTCATAATCATGTAAGGACCAGGCACTGATCTGTTTTGTTTACTACTATTTCCTAGAACCTGCAACAATACTTAGCAATTGGTAGGTTCTTGACAAGTATTTGTGTAGTGAAAACATCTTTGTGCCTCCTGAGCTCTTTGATGTGGCTGTATACCCTAGACTCTAGATACATGTTAAATGAATACATCCTATAATAGCTCTTTCTCTATAGTTATTGCTTGAGTGTGCATGTCACCCAAAGGAAATCAGTATGCAAAGTGCTGGTTCACAAGGTGACAATTATGGGAGACACTGTGAACCTTTAAAAGGTAAGGCCCTATAGGAAGTGTTTAGGGCCCTAGGTATGCCCGTGCAAGGAATTCTGTGACACTGCCCGTTTTCTCTCTCTCTGATCCAGTTTACAATGTGATTATTTTGTTCCTGCAGGTATTCTCAACCATATGTGTCACTGTCTTCTATCCTGGTCAGAACTGAGTTGATACAGACATGAGTCCTCCGAACCTCCAAAGCTAAATAAAAATTTTCTCTTTATAAGTTACTTGCCTCAGATATTTTGCATCAGTGACATGAACCTGTTTAACACACTTGCCTTTCCCAACAGAAGGATAGTAAAGAAATTAAGAGTAATTATCATTATTAAATATTCCAGATAATCAAAAAACAGAAAACACAAGAATAAATTACTTACAAGTAAATTCATTAGGACTATTGGGACAAACATTGTAAAGGCGATAAGTTGTACAAAAGACAGAACTGGATATGTCAATTCATTTTTCAAAAAGGGTTGAAGGTATGTGTCTCGATAATTGACATCTCCTAGCATCATGGTGAAGGTCTGGACTAAGGAAAGCAATGGTGACCTAAAGGCATCCTGAGAAAAGATAGAAAGGAAAGTGAAATGTGAAGTATAGACAGTGAAATGCGTGTCTCCTGAAGAGTAAAATGATAAAAATTATACAGGAATATTTTTAAGAAATTATAACCATGTAGCTACTGAAATATAGTCCAAAGAAATGTTAATAAGCTATATAGCAAAGTCATAAAAAGTTCTTTTGTGCAGATGAAACAAATTTGTGCATTATCTATAAATTTTTGACAATGGAAAAAAATCTAGTATCTGCCCACATTTGCAATAGAAATAATTTGAAAATTGTATGATATAAAAAACAATTATTCCAACATTCTTGTCATTATTAATTTTCTAGGTCACTGAGACTTAAATATAACATACATTTCCAATATTCACAGTGATGATCAATAACAGATGCAACTGCCTTACCTGTGCATTTAGAAGGACATAAAAGCTAAGTCCAAAAGCCAAAAGAAGGAAAATAAATACTCCCGTAGACCTCAACAAAGTTCTGAAAATTACCTCCAGCATAACAATGAAAATTCCCCAATTTTCAAACCTAGAGAAAAAAATAAAATATTTATTTACTTTGATGATCAAGATGTACTTTATTAAAATGATAAAATTTTGTTTTGCTTTGTTTCTGAGGCAGGGTCTTGCTATATAGCCCAGGCTGGCTTCGAACTCATAGCAATCCTCCTGCTTTGGCTTCCTGAGTGCTGGGACTATATGCATACAACACCACACCTGGTGTAAGCGCAAAATTTTTCATTCATTAAATCTAGTACTGAGTTTCATAAATAAGATATTTGAGAAGTTATTTTGAAAAAAATATGAAATTTCACAAATAATCAGGTCATCCTTTCAAACTGTTCATCAAATTGTTTTTTTCTTTCCTGTTAATGTTTGCCTTTCATAATGTTATCACTTGAGCACTGAATAGTATTTTAACAAAAATAAGGGCATAAAAAACCATAGTTTCCCATGCCAAAGAAAATAGTAATAAAAGCTCAAAAAGGGAATTAGAGAGATAAATTGTGTAGGACATCAAATAAAGATTGATAAATTATGTACCTAAAGCCCCTATAATAGGACATACAACACAACCATCTTCATTAACCCCCCCAAGCATCCCTAAATTGTAAAATATTTGGATAAATATTGGGTGTGTCATTTGACCACCAGTTTATACTCTTCCTTTGTTATGGCTTGTCTTTAGATGTCCACCTAAAGGTTGCCACAGGTTGGCCATAGGCTGGGCTTTTTCAGAGGAGGGTGGATCTAGAGTGTGTGACACTGGGATGGATTCACAGTGGAAATGTAAGATTAAGGCTAGCAGGGTTAAAGGCCTGAGTGAGGGCAGGTGGCCTGCATCCAATAGAAGGGACCAAACGGGGCTTGTTGCTGTTGGCTGACTTGCCTGCTGTCTTCTGTCTCTGTCTTCTGCCCACTATGAGCTGTTTCTCTTCTGTGATGCCCTTTTGCCATTTGACCATGCCTTAGAGCTTGCTGCTCACAGACTGAAACCTATACAATCTGTGAGCCAAACTAAACCTTTCCCGTAACTGTGAGTATTGGGTATTTAATCTCATCAATGAGAAAAGTGACTGAGACATCCTTCACCAAACACAATTTGTTAAAAGAAGGAATCACAAGATATTAAAACCGTCACTGTTCAATGTGTACATGAGTTAAAATACCTCACTGTATGTGATAAATAGGGACAACTATTATGGGCCCATCAAAAATAAAATAATCTTAAACAGCTCAAAAGTACTTCAAAGATGTCTAGTAAATTACAAAGTCACTGATAAAAACCAAAGCAGGAGTGACAATGTCTGGGCTTCAGTTGAATTCCTTTTACCTCTGGGCCACTGTTCCTTCCAACACACCATAGCCTTTCCAAGCAGCCAGGCTCACCTCAACATCACTGTGTTCATGACACATTAGGGCAGATGAAACAGTGGGAAAAGCATGACCCTCAGTGTCAGAAAACTTGGGTGAATGTCTGTGTCTTGACTTTCTAACTAAGATCTTCAGCCAGCTATTTGGCTTGGCACTTCAGCTTCTTTGGTGCAAGGAAAATAATAACATTTACTTCTTGTTATTAAAAGACTGTGTGAAAAAATACTTCACATTAGTTATTGTAAGAGGTAACAGAAACTGTCTTTCCTCTCAAATTAGATTCTTTGGGCTTACATTTACTTTTATTTTTATATCACTTTCATTGCTCATACTACTTATTACTTCATTTTGAGTGTGTGAACTCAAAGTAAATGTATATCAAATAATATCAGATAAAACAAGAAAAGGAAACATTTTGCTTCCATTTAATGTGTACGTTTAATCTAGATTTGTGAGACCAAGTAACTTTGACCTAGGCAGACTGGGCACTGAGGAGACATAGTAACATGTTTGAATACATTTTGAATACATAGTTTGAATACATTTTGACTGTCACAAACCAATATTCAGAAGGTGAAGCCAGAGATGTGCTGAACACTACAATACAAATGATGACATCCTCACCACCCCCACACACAACTACACCAAAATTTCAACAGCACTGAGACTAAGAAACTCTGGCGAACACTCTTGTTTTTTTTTAACTCCAGAAACTCCTTTCTTTTCTTTAACAAATTATAAAATATATACATACATAAAACAATTGGAAACAGGAGTAAGCCAGTTCTAAATGAAGTTTATAGTAGTTTATCTTATATACTAAAAAATGCATCTGAGTTATGGAAACCATTCAGTCTGGTTTTACCTTTGAAGATACATTAAGAAGTTCATCCAATACAAGAATATCGCAATTGCTCCACATTGCCATTGCACGTACGCTGGTATGCTGACAAACAAGGGCAGCACAAAAATGATGCTTTTCGTGTAGATAACCCATTCCAAAGCATTGTTATAATCTAAAAAGTAGTTCCTTTTCTGGAATTAAAAAGAACAGGAGATTATCACATATAGATACCTGGCATCTTGTGGACGGCTAAACACATACATGTTTAAGGCCAGTCAGCCTCCTCCTTTCACCCTGAGTTGCCTGAAGAACACCTGGTATATGGATCCATGCTGCAGACAGCTCATTCAGAGACTGATCTGGTGTAATAGAATGCTGATGTTTGAGGAAATCCTACATGTTTTTGAACATTTCCTGTAGAGTCTACTCTATCTTAAGCAATTTTCTAAAGGACTGCAAGTTGGTTTAGCAATTCCTGAGATCTCTTGGCCAATATAAGGACATGCATATAGATCTCTATACATAAGAACTAAGGTCACTTATAAAGAAGATTGAAACTTGTGCTGAAACTTAATCAGGGAATGTAAATAAATCATAATTGTATTCCTCAGGATTTCATGTTTCGGACATTAAAATTTTCACATGTAAAATAGTTATTAATAAGAAAATGTAGATACATCTAATAGAAAATTCACATAACTATAGTTCAAACTATAATCTGAAGTTTTCATTTCAGAAGCATGAAGAAAAAATATAATAAGAGAAATTGAATAGAGTACCCTGAAATCATTTAAGGTCAAGTAGAAAATATAGTTTAACTCTTAGAATTGTGAAAATTTACTTAAATATATGAGAATACTCATATAATAAAAAGCATTTTATCTTCAACTTTCTTTAATACAAATATTCGTAAGTTTTTATAACATAGCAAAAAAACTCACTGAGAAAGAGATATTGCATAAGAAATATATGATTTAAAAATACTATTCACAAAATATCTAAAAATGAATAATACTTTAAGCATTCATTAAAAATAAAGGACTGATGTCATTTATCTACTAAATCAAGGACCTGAAGATAATTTACATAATTTTTAAGTGCAACATGAACTTGTTTTTCCCTATCAGAAAATGAAGTATAAAGTAAAAACTTATGGCACAAAAAGTTTCCAAAATTTATTTAAGTTAAAATTTTACCCATTAAAAATTGGTATTCTTTTTAGAAAAAGAATTCAAAGAAAGACTCATTTGAGATGGAATCTGAGCCAGATACATTTTTTTAAATATATATTTACATTTAAAATTATCAAAATCAGTATCTATGTTAGCAAAATATTAGAAATGAAAAGACTCAGAAAAGGTCATAATGAGCATTTGTAGCAGACAAATCCACCTGGAACAGTGAAAATGGAATGGCTCTTTTTCAGATATATTGAAAAGTTTGATGTATCTAAAATAATTTTATTTCTATATTGAAGTTTATGCTTGTTGTTTTGAATATATGCATTTCTCATCTATGTAATTTTATTGACATAGTTTTATCAATTAATATAACATTAACATCTTTATAGACACAAAATATATGGTGTACCTGTTGGAAAATTTGTATCACTTCTTTGCAATAGCCAAATATACTTGATAAAAAAACCAAGATCATACAAACTTTAATTGGATATGAATTCTGAAACAATAAAAAATGAAGACAAGTAGTTATGAATAAATATTTTATTTCTATATATATTTCAAATCTTAGTTAAATGGAAAATCATTGTAAATGTAAATCAGTGTAACTGTTCATCTCATCTACTAGAGATGGCACATGATTATTTTGCAAAGTTCTTGCTAAGAAAGGTTCAGAATTACCAACTGATATTAAGGAAATATAAATCTATAGATCTATATATTTTTTAAATTATGGCAACATACACACAATACAAATTTGCAAATTTAAACAGCTTTATATTCTGTGCATTTACATTTTAAACTCTATAGTTCAATGGCATTAAGCTCATTCTCAGAGTTAAACTACTATCACCCCTATCTATTCCGCAGCATTTTTATCATTCCAAATTGAAACTCCATGTCACTAAGTAACTCTTCCCATTTTCTCTTCCTCATAGTCCCTGGAAACTATAAATCTGCTTTACTGTAGACATACATATTCTACAGTGTTACATTTTGGAATTCAAGTTACCTCATCCTTGTCATTGTTAAAAATTAATTAAAAATTCACTCATCCACTTATTCATTTATGTTTCCTCTGTTCCATGAAGAACTTTATAAAAAGTTAGTTCTGTAGACTATTTATAATAACCAAAGCCCTGATATTTCAGTTTTATTATTGGCATGGTATCCCTATGGAAAAATACACTTTAAATAATCTTTTATTATTAAAAGTTGAAATTTTAAGATACCGTCGTGTCTGTTTGATTATGAGTTTCATTGATGATTCCAGTTGAGTTGAAAGCTGTTCCTGGCTTTATATTAATGACAAGAAGGGTCATGGGTATGAGACCAAGACAGTAAGATCCTAGATTCATCATGTGGGCTCTAAATCCATAGGCACACCTACAGAAAAATAAGCAAGCTGAGTCATTTCAAAAAAAAAAAAAAAATATATATATATATATATATATATATATATATACATATATCTGTAGAGAAAGTAATTATAATCCACTTCAGAAGTCTATTCAGCAATTCTACAACCAAAAACTCTAATTTATATTTTTAATTTTCAGAGAAAGAATCTCAACTTCTTAGCAAATCATGATGAAAGTTTCATCAACCAAGGGAAGAGGAGAGACTTCAGTCCATATATTTCAACTGAAAGTTGAATACTTCTCTCTAGAACACATTTCTCATTTCATTGTCCAATAACGGCAAGATCCATCCAACATGCTCCTGATGTTTTAGAAAATTATTTTATTCCCGCCTCAAATCATTCATTTAGCTTCAAAGATAATACCAATTGCAATGTCAAAAAATTTAAATGCTAAAACTTAATGCCAAACAACTTTAATGTCAAAATTTGCCTTTGAATTTTATTCCTTTTTCAAAGTTCACAACTTTAATAAAATTTAAAACATTAATATGCCTTTAAAATGTAATTGTTTAGAAGATTTCTAATAGGTTTAATAATGACCTCACTTAAAACATTACTTCTGGGTACCTACCATTTCATAAGTAAATATTCCTTACACACAGGATGATTGAGAAGCTCTATGCGATTATGCTGTACCATGACCTAAGAAATAATAAAAGTACATTGTATTTATTACACAACCATGTATAAACCAAGCTTTGGATTTTCTGTTTTTATAACTTTATTTTGAAATTACAAAACTAACATTTGCTCACCCTAAAACACTTTCAAATAAATTTTTAAAAGCACAAGGATGTTTTAAGCAGGTAAATTATTTTATTCAGTGTATCTCTTTTGATTTCAGACTAGCTAGGATGGCATACAGCATTTTAATCTTACACAGAGTCACAACAGGAAAGAACATCAAAGTTAAATTAGCAAGTGTAGCACCATCACTGTTTCCTTTGAAGACACTCAAGTTTATTTTTCTAATAGAGTCTACATAAATAGTAGTAGAAATAATCTGTAGATTTTGAATTTTCATGAGTTGTTAAGAACTAGTATGTGGTCAACATTTACTTTTTAAATATTAAATAAACATAGGGTAACTGAGGTCCGCAAGACGACAGAATAAGATGCCTCAGAGCCTCCTTCCTCCACGGAGCTAACAATGATGCATGGACCACTGCCTTTGGGAGCTACCCAGAGCTCAGGCAAGAAGTTCTGTGCTTCAGCTGAGTGCACATTCAAGGAGAATCATATGAGTGACAGGAGGAGGATTCACGGTAATTAATTGCCTCAGTTGTTGCTTCTGACACAGCACAGCTTGGGACAAAACTCCCAATTCCTGGCTTCTCTCTTGGGAGATGTAAAAAAAAAAAAAAAAAAAGAAGCTGGTATATATGTCCAACATTCTAACTTTTAAGCTAGCTTTACAAGGAAATGATTTCTATTTTGTCTGAATTTAGAGCAGATCACCAAGTTCCAAGTATTGGAAATTCTGATTTGGGTTGAATGTTTAAAGCCTTCCTAAGACTAGAAGAATCTGAGACCTCCCAAAGATTAGAGTTTACCTACAGTGCAGCCACTGGATGAACTTGAAAGCTGTGGTCATTTTGCTGTGGTTTATACTGGAGGAGACCCTTGAATATGCCCACAGGCAGGAAGTAGACAGAGGTGGGGAATAAATGTTGCTTGTGTTGTCTATGGTTTATGTGGATTTGAGTTGAATAAGGTGCTACATGACTGTTAGCACAGAAGTGTAAAACTTCAAGAAGATAAATTTACCACAATGGTAGAAAATGATTGTTTTCTCTATTACAAAATATAAAGGGTTAGGATACATGGTGAGCACACACATTGAATCATAAAGCTGCAGTTTTTGCCAGCTCCTTCTATTTCCATCAAACATGGAACTATTTTATCAAACTATCTGGATAATAAAAACACGGCACTTACATTGAGTGTTGAAAGAGGCTCATAATGAACTTCTTGTTCAGCTGGTAATTTTCTGGTGAATTGCAAAGGGCACTGAAGATATCTGAAATTGTATTCAATCTGTAGAAGACATAATTTTTTTAAAAAATTACAGTTACATTAGAATAGACCTCAAAAGTCATTGCTGAGAAACAAAATATACAAGTCTATAGTTCTCCTGAAAATTAACAGACTCAAAATTGAAACATTTCAAGTGGATAAAAAGAAACTAAATTATTTCACATTGAGGTTAAAAAATAAATATTGTACAAAGCCATTATTTTGTTGCTTTGCAACTCATAGCTGTGGAAATAGAGGAATTCTCAGAAGTGCTTTCAGATCTCTTAAAGATTTTCATTCTTCAAGCAAAACTGCAAAAGAAAATATAAAGCCTAACAAAAATAAGTATTTTGGGAAAACTGAAAATGTGAGAAAAGATATTCTCTCATAAATAATACAATAATACAACAAATGAAACCCATATTTGTTATCTACCGTAGATCTTAAATCTGTTAAATCACCAGTTTTAATATTCTAAAAATTTTAACAAAATAAATTCAGATTATTATGATAAAGCAACTTACATGGTAGTCTTGGCAGGATTTGTCCTCTGTGGAAGGTATCATGCAGAAATCTAAAAGAATCTTTGAGAAAGAAAAAGCAGAAGAGAAAAACTGAGCAAGAGAAACTCTATTGTGGCAGCAGACCGTACGTTAAGACAAGCTTTTACTCTACTCCTAGAATAACACAAAATAGCCCCCCTTTTTTTTCTTTCTTGTACCTCCAGGATAAATTACAATGCACGTGACTCAGGGACAAAGTTCCACAAGTACTTCTCTCTGCACGTTTCTGAAATGTCAGATGATTCAAAACATGTACCATGAAAATGAAACTGCACTCTTAATTTTGTGTTTACTAAATTTTGGTAGGAGATACTCAAGGTATCTCCTAAGATTGTATATCTTTATTGGCTTGTAGAGAATATATAGATTACTGAATATTCCTTTGTTCAGTATCTAAAACAGAAACAATTTATTTTCACTAACTGAGACCCTTTCATCCTAGCCCTGAGGTCTTCTGCGGTTTAAGACTTGTCTGTATTGTTCCAGTTCAGGATACTATGTTTGTTTCTGTACCTGCTTCCTGAGCAACACTGAGAGTATATGTTCAGAGGAAAGTGAGAAGAATAATAGAGGATAAATGTTGAAATAAGAAACAGTTAAATTGGAAATTTAACTCTAGAAGTTCAAAGAAAATGCACTTACAGGGATAATTATAGCCACCTTTCTTGTATGTGGAGGCAAATTTTTGTGGCATCTTTGTCTACATAATTTGAGTCACCCCAAATCTAGTGGCTCAAATTTGTAATCCTGTTTTCTTTGAGTTTCATTTGTGTTTAATTTGCTACAGGGAGTTACATGTTTGAAGACCCAGGGAGACCAGGCAACTGATAAAAGCAAATGAACCAAAGCAGGCATAGGAGCTTTCTCCCTTTATTTTTAAACAGTGTCTTCTCATGGGCTGGCTTTATCTTCAAAGACTAGATGGAAGAATTCACTGAAAATATCTCTCTGCTACAAGGAAAAGCATTGTATTAGAACAACAATATGCAACAAGCCATTGGCATGAAAGCTGAGTACACAGAAGGGATAGATTGGGTATATTAATGGGGGAGCCTGGCCCCATACAAAGCATGGCTGTGCTCAGCCCAGCAATTCCTGACTGTGCACGCAGTCCCAGGCATCAGATCTGTTTTTTTTTTTTCATAGGAACCTACTTTCTGGATTCTTAAGGAAAGCATCTTGGTCATAAATTAGCAACTAGTGCAAATATAAATGGTGATAATAGTCACACCAAACAACATATCCAGCACTTTTATTCAGCCAATAAATATCACTTTGTAGTCTTTGCTCTATACTTGGACTGTTTGAAGAAAAACATTTCCTTAACTATATTTTCCAACATTACACACACGTCAATCCCCATGAAACACTTATTAGCTAACATCCTTTATAGCTTCTCAAAAGCCAAAGACTTTATTTAAAGATAAAATATATTACTATTAAGTTGTGATCACAAAAATAAATCCTCACACTATATATAAAATATTTATCCATAGAACTTCTGTTTGCATAGCTTACTTTCATGCATTCAGGGAGGTATTCTATCATTTCCGTGATTGGACATCTATTACTTGGAGAACAATGAGTAAAAACCTTAAGACATTCATCCCATCTGTAAAAATAAGACAAACAAAAGACTTACAGAGATGCTGAAACTCAACGTTATATCTTTAAGTAAAATTTAAATTCAGGTTAATTCCTAGGATAAAATGCTCAGCTAATGATTCCAATGTGACCAATAGATAAGCCCAGATCAACTCATTGATAGGATTCTTGTTCATTAATGGAAATTAGGAATGTGAGAATGTAATAATATGCCTGTTATAAGCATTATTTTATCTCTTTAAATGCTTTCTAAGGAAAGCATGTCTTTATCTGCATTTTCTCCTAAAGTCATAAAGTGGTTAAGTACTTTTACAGTTGATCATATTGAGTAAAGACATTCAAATTCACATATGTATGTCAGGAAGTTGGTACTAAATATATATTTAACAATTAATTCATAATATGTGTGTATATATGTTATTCAATTAATTAAACTATAAAATAACATGGTCAAGTAGATTAATAAGCATAAGCTCTGCCAGAGCATTATGGAATCTGACCCTTTATTCAACACTATTTATTTGGGTGAGATAATAAAGTGTTCATGATACCGAAGAAAAACTAAATATAAAACAAGGAACAATAACAACAAAAAATCCCATTTATCTTAATATCCTATGTATGTGATAGGGAGTCTGGTTCTAATCACAACCCAAAGAACTTTTCTCTCATCCCTGATCTTTCTGGAATATTATTAACAGAAGACTTCTGATTACATACTTTCATTGGCTGATGATTCAAAAGAAATGAGATTTTTGAGACTACTCATGCTCAAAACACAGGCTCTATCTGCTGTGAATATGAAGTTGCTTACACTATTTTCACTCCTGGCTGACAATAGGGCCCTTGTCCATATCTTTCTAAGATAATATAGAAAAGTTATATTTGATACATGGAAAGCATTCCCTCTACATTCATCAGTAAAACTCCTTAAGAGTATGGCTTAACAGAAGAGCTTGTGCTAAGGGAAATTTTACTGTATGGCACTAACACCTTAGGGAATACTTCTACCAAAATCTAGTGCTGGAGTTTCTGTAGCAGGAGTATACCAGGCAAGGACAGAATTTGCTGGACAGCGGCTGTGGTGTCAAATCCTTTATGTGTCTAGATTCCTGGAGTCTCAAGGTGGTATTATCTTCACACATTTATTTATTTTTTTGAAATGAAAACTGCAGATCAGAAAATGCATCAATGTGCATGCTGTCACCCAAAAAGTGCATTAAAATATGTAAACAACTGACATTTTGATATATTGATTAAAAGCTGAAATATTTTTTTCTTGTTCCCTCAAGATATGAACCACCCTGCCAGCACAGGACACTAAGTGACAGTGGACAGGAGAAGTGTACCTTTTGTTCCTGATGGTGGTAATGACCACCTCCTTCCTCTTATTGTGGAGCGCAATGTGCAGAAAGGAGGCCTGCTGCTTGTTCAAAACTATGTCCGCATCGTGATTCAGAAGAAGTGCAACAGCTTTGGCGTGCCCTTCTCTTGCAGCGAAGTGGAGAGCAGTGTTCTTTTTGATAAAACAGAACACAGAAAAGACGGTAACAATGGTTAATTTTACTCTGGCCATTCTACTGCCTTATTTCACTGTTGAACTGCTTAAAAGAAATAATCAACAAAGTTAATTATTTAATATGAAAATACATTAATTTAAAAATAGAGTTCAGAATCAAAGTTTGAAATGAGCTCGCCATTAAGATGTGTGTGTGTGTGTGTGTGTATGTGAATGTGTGTACGGGTGAATTTATATGATTTCTGTATCATTTTTCACGGTGGGATTATACTAAAAGGACAAAGAAAAAGCTTCTAGTGTGAGTACATTATAGCAAACACATAAAAAATTATTTCTAAGAGAATTATCATCTAGTAGAACCATGGTTTCCAGATTTGAGGCTTAACAAAATTGTAAATTTCTTTAGACCAGAGCCTGCTATAAGATTGTAATTTTTTGTCTTGTCAAGAAAGTGACATTTAAAAAATGATCTTTCACCATCATTTCATAAACAAATATACCATTTAATACTTCCGAAAAAGGAAGACTGTAATGGTATAATAAAGACATATGCTTATTTTTGTGAATACTTACCCTACTTTCTTCATTTTTCTGGGTTTACTTGATCATCAAATTGCAATGGCCTTGGACAAATGTCTGTGACATTGGGGGAGTGGCCTCAACATGACCCCATCCTTTAGTATTCTTTAATTCTGCCACCTTTTACTCATTCCTCACTCTAACAGCCTAATTCTTACAAAAAGTAAAAGCGGGGAATAGGCCAAGAAAGGGAATGAGGTAGCTAACAAGTCTTCCCTGTAATTCTGAAAATTTCTTCTAAAGCAAAGTCTTGATTTGTTAAGACGAATGTTGTACATACCCCTTCTTCATCGAGCCGATCTGTACACTTCATATTAGTATCCAGAATGACCTTCATTGTCTGAGTGTACCCTCCCATGGAAGCATGGTGCAGAGCAGTCCAGCCATTGTGGTCACTGTTAAGAATTAAGAAAAGACATACGCATAAATACTTCAGATGAAGTGTGGGAAGGGAACCACTTAGCACGTTGTAGGTGGGTCCAAAACATAATTGAAATCTGTCAACTCAGCATTTAGTCGAGATGCATAATATATGAGATAACCAAAATATAAGATAATCATAACTAAAATATTAATATAATCATTAAGCTCAATGATCCTAAATGATCCATCTGTAATGTAACATATATATATATATATATATAGTATTAAAATATAAAATGAAGTAAACATATTACTAAAAACTTAAGGATGATGAAATATTAGCATGTCTATGTCATACATATTTTTAAGAAGTGTAATGTACATAAATACACTATTTTAACCTTGCCTTATTGACACATTGAACAGTGTACAAAATGTTCTGTGACTGGGACATTAAGTCTTCACAGTTAATGTTATTGCTAACAATAATAACAACATCTTATGGTACATGGTTACAAGATACTTAGCTTAGTATAATTTATTCTTTTAAGCATTTAGTTCTGTATTTCCTTGTGCTATCAAAGATCCCTACTCAATCCCTTTAAAAAATCTGTCCTTTTTCAGAGGAATTCAAAATACGATGGAAATACTTATTAATACCATATTAATAACACTTTTTAAAATTAGACATAGAAAACACTGACCAATTTAATTTTAGAGCTAATGAGCATCTGTTTTAAGATGCAAGAGTCATCCTTGCTACTTGCTACCATGATGTAATTAGGCAGTAACTGCTGGCCTGGTCCACTTGGGTCCTCTTTGTCAGTCAGCTAATTTATGTGTCTTGGAGATAGAAAGAGACCTGGAAAAGCATTCATTTTAAAGGTGTATCACTGATATTTTGGAATTAGTGCTTTGATGATGACATATGTTTTTGAACACATGTTTAATAAGCTCTTGTAGCCTCCTACTTAGGAAAAGATTAGAAGACAGCTCACTGCTCCATTTATGTTTTAGATTTTCTTTTTATGAAAACATCATTCAGTTGCAGTACATATTATATTATGCTGCTACATTTAACTACAGCTTTTTTACTTAAATTAAATTTTCCATTAATTATTAAGTTCTGTTCTCTTTTAATGTCTCCTTTTATCATTTTTTAGTCCATCATTTGCCAGAGTCAATAAAAAGTCCTTACAAACATCTAATTTTGTGTTTGTATGTGTATTCATAGTCACATATACAAACATAGTTTTGTACTTGTGCAAGATGATGGCAGTATAATGAAATAAATTATGAAGAAATGTATCTCAAAAGTTCTCAGAAATACTTTGCCCAAAACCATTCTATTCTGTAACCTTCAAGAGGGTCTTCAACTCTATAAATATTTAATTTCTCAACTTGGAATAATACTGAATTCTCTTTTAATATTTAAGACATTTGAACAATAATAAGATGAATAAAAGTACCTAGTGGTATATAAAGTTAGATGTCATCATTAAAGATTACTTAAAAAGAAGTTTGAAAATGGCTAATAAAAAAGAAAATAGAAGGCTCCATTCATGCATTCTCACCTGAGAAATAATGCACCTTTTTTCAGAAGAAGCTGAACTACTTTATCATGGCCATTTTTTGCTGCCAGATGGAGTGGAGTCATCCCATGAAGGTCCCCTTCATTTAAGAGCCTTGTGTCACTTATGTCTTGTAGGAGCCTCTGACAGGTATTGATACGCCCATAACTTGAAAGAAATTAGGTTTCATATTTTCAAAGAAAATTTTAAACTAAAAGACAAGCTCATATCTTGCATAGACTGACCCTTACCTGGCTGCAAAATGCAGGGGTGATTTCTTATCTTTGCTTTTGGAATAAATGGACACATTAAAACCAAGTAGGTTATTTACAGAGACATGGACTCCCTGTTTGCATGCGTAATGCAAAGGAGTGCAGCCATCATTGTCTTCATCCATTACCAGCGCCTTGATCTCTTGCATCTATGGGAACAAATGAGTATTCTACACATGTCATGGATACTATGCTAATAAATTTGTCAAAGTATTCTGTAGCATAGTATTTTCCAAGAAAAGTCAACATATATTTCTCATGGGCAAAATCATAAACAATTAAACTATTCTAGAGAAAAATAAACATGGATTGAATCTCACACTTTGTCTCTCTGTAATGTACACTACGATATTAAACACCCAGAGAGAACCTTCAAGTAGAAAAATGTCTTCACATTTTTTCACCCACAATTTTGTAAACATATTTGACCACTCTCCCTACTGTGTTCTCCCCTCACGTTTGTCCCCAAATAGCACTCAAAAACATAATATGTTCTGTCAGGCAAAAGAGATTGGATGTTAAAATTAGGTTTACTTTGCCTTTTATGCATACATTAAATTAAAAAGCAAATGGCAAACAACCAGCTTAATCCAATTCATAAATAAATATATTTGGTTTAAAACTTTGAAGTACATATGTATTCTTGATTTCTTTATAAAAGACAGTGACAATATGAAGATGTAATTATTATAATATGGCACATTTCACATGCTCCCAATAGTCACTCAGTAACTATTTGTTATGTAATACAAGTTAAATATGAACATAAAGCTTTCATCCTATGATCAATAACCCAAGAATGTTGAATGGTTTGTTTTAATGATGAGAGTTCTGCTAATTCACTCACAATCTGTTTTTTCCACTGATATATAACTCATAATGACCAAAAGTAGACAAATCATGAGTGATTAAATGTGTGACCTTATTATATATGAGGAAATAGAGCAGCATTATGTAAATTTGAAAGCTCAATCACAATGCAATCCTCTTCCTCCTCAATATCATTGTTTTAAAATACTTTTGAAACCCCAGAATCAGCCTTTATAACAACAAAAGTCATAATATAATCAGCTTAAATTCTGTTGTATACAACTTATTTTAAGAAAATCTGTACACATTACATTACCTGCATAAATTCAGGTCGCAAATTTTTTAATCCATATGGTTGCTGCACAGTAAAGTGTAAAAAATTACGTCCAAGATAATCTTTTATGTCTACTCTGGCACCTAAAAAGCACAATATAAATATAAATTCTATTTATTTATTTAAAACATAACCTAAACTTGATTTTTAACTTAAAAGGTTTTGACAAAACTTTGTCAACCTTAACATCATTTAGATAAAACAATATATTTTAAAATATACCTTTCTGTGTGTGTGTGTGTGTGTGTGTGTGTGTGTGTGTGTGTGTGTGCGTGTGTGTGTTGGGGGATAGATAATATGCCTTGTCATAATATATAAGGTTTTAACTTTTAAAGCATAAAGTATAAATATAAAGCAACTACAGATGAAGAATGAAAATGATAGAAAATACTAAGATGTCTTTTTGTTTGTCAGTGTAGAACCAGATCCATATCTGAAATGGAGACAATAATAGCATTTACTTCACACAGCACTGACTCATTAAAGAAAGCTGATAAAATATTCAGCAAATGTCTGAAGTATGACAATTACCTTAAAACGTTATCTATTATGTTTTGAAGGTTTTTTTTTTCAAATATTGTTGTCCTTTATTGGACTGTAAATTATTCAAGACATAAAAAGTTTATCTGACCCCATGCCTGGCATACAACAGATAGTTAATAAATGTTTATTTTTTAAAAATTTAATGCTAATTCCAAAACTTTGATTTGATACTTTTTGGTACCTTTAGATAGTAGCAGATTTACAATATTCCAGGATGCAGAGGCAGTTGCTAATACAAGTGGAGTCCGTCCTTCAGAATCAGTGATATTGATATCTGCCCCCTAAAACAATGTTAAATGTTAGTCATTCAACAAAAAAAATTGTGAACAAATAAGTAGCTTATCTTTGGAATTCCTAAGCAACATCAGTCCAATGGGATAAAGTGTCTTAAATTATGGAGAACACTAAAGCATATGACTTGAAATTGCAAGATGAAATCTGAAAGCATTGTTCTAGAATTTCAACAATGAAATCATTACACATCATGCTGTTGACTGACACCTATCTATTATCTATCTGCCTGTATAGCTATCTGAACCCTAAATATTAAGTTCTCTGACCTAGAGCAGTAAGTTCCTATTGCAATATTTTCTAAATGTCCATAATTTTAAAAATCTTCCAAATTTATTTCACATATGATTAAAAAACATTCACAAGAAAGTGTTCATTTAAAAAATTCTACTTCATCTGAAATAGATAAAGTAAAACGATTGAATTTACTCAACATTTTGGCCAAATATTTGAGAAAATTTGTAATTAAAAGTCATTTATATGATTTTGATGTGGTATGGTAATCATATCTGATGTGATAAGAAACAAAAGGTCTTGAAAAATTTCTTAGATAGAATTCTGTACTTTGTACAGGTTACTAAAAACAGCTTAAGCTTGGATTGTGGCTATTTTCCTGTGGGTCCACTGAATGGAGATGAGGATGACTGCCAGGCACTGTAAATCTTGTGGTGGTGGCTGAGGGTCTGCCTTCCTTCTCTAAACAGGTGAACAGGTAGCTGCCTTGGCAGGCAAGCAAACATGGCCTCAAGCTATGGTGTCTGGCAACACTTTTCAAATTTGTAGGTAAATATCCTAATCTCAATTGTTGCTATTGACAAAATGCACAGGTTAAATACTGCAAATGAAACTACATTCATTGCTGATACATTGGACATAAATAAATATGTTTATCCATGTATAGGATTTATAAAAATTGCAATCAAGGCTAACTATTTCATTTCTTAGAATGAGAAGGATCTCTCGCTTTCATTTACAATAAATCTTCAGTATTTTTCAGTTTTTTCATTTCTCTTGGTTTGAGAGTTGACGCTCCCTTGTAGCATAGTAATTTAAATGAATGCAAGGTGAAGGTGATGTAGTCAGCCTGTCTTGTATCCAGCTTAACCTGCCCAGTGTTGAAGAACAGCCACCAGAGCTACGGGAGCCTGAGACTACCCTAGAGAGCTGGCTCACAGCCACTCAAAAAGCTTTTCTTGAAATGTACTAGCAAACTGTTTTTACTATGTAAGTTGACACAGGCATAAAAATGTGCACTTTCACACTTTGAACATCACATTGATGAAGTTGGGCCAATATGCATTCACACGCAAAATACTAAATTGCAGATGTGAAAACTTTTTTTGCAGCTAAGCAACAAATTATTTTCAAATTCCATACTGTGTAATCATATGCTTTTTTGAACTGTAAATAGTAGTCAAATAAAATAAATCCATTAGCTGAATAGTTACCACTGAAATTAAGTAGTCTGCTAGTTCATGGTGATCAAATAGTGAGGCCCTGCAAAAAATAAAATTAAGGTAATATTGGTATAAGTATATAAAATATAGTTATTGCATTTAGAAAGTTAATTTGGATATTAAATTATCTAATACAATGGTAAAGAGTTGGTAAACTTTGAAATTTATAATTGATTCTGAGAGTGTATTTTCAAAGTAATAGTACTAAAGAAAAATCAAATATATCTCAGTTTTCTTCTTCATCTTTTAATGAAGTTGTTTTATTTATTCTAGTGCTGAGTCAATTTAGTCCCAAGGGATAATAGACAAAAGACCTAGCTGCTATCTCTAGGATCATGCGGACTGAAAATCTATTTGTAAAGTGTGAAGAAAATTACCTGCAGTGTTCACAATGGCCTTCTTTGGCAAAAGGTAACAAGGAAATGTTAGCTTTCTTGAGTTTTTATGAAGCAAAAACTAATTATGGAGCAAACTGAACTTATTTTGGTATCATCTCATAGCTAGCCATAAAAACCATGTTTGTTAAAAAGCAAATATAGGTTTTTAACTACATTAAAGTATAATTGCGACACAACATTAATACTAGTGATTTAAAACCTTTTTTCTACTGCAAATTAAATTTCTTTATTCCTATTCCTGATCATTTCAGCCCTTTGAATATGAATTTCAGACTCAATTTGCTAATTTTCACTAAAAATTCCTAAGAAATTACATTATATGTTACATTAATGTCATTTAGTAAGTTTATAAAGTTAAATATAACTTTAAATCTTAGTTTCTTAAAATAATTCCTTCTTCACCATTTTGTATATTAAGATTGTGTCTTAAAGGTATACTTCAACTATACTTAAGTCAGTGGCTTTCCAAATTGACTCAACACTAGAACCAAAGAGTTCTTTTTAAAAAATCCTGAGATACCTATCAAAGATTGTAATAGAATCTTGAGTATTAATTGGCATTGGGACTTTGTAAGTTTCTTTCATGATTGTAGTGTGCAATGGTTTTAGAGTATAATATAAAATTAATATATTTTTGCTTTTTTTCTATGACTTTTTAAAGAGTTTATAGCTATATCTTTCCATGTCGCCACCCCTAAACTTGTATACCACAATTGTTTATAGTCTTTTATTATAATATACTTATAGTATTTTTATATAACTGATTATATAACTTGTTTTAAATTTTTGAAGCTCTTAAATATCTTTATAGTAGAATTCTTTTCAGATTGCTCCATTCTTTCTATTTCCTTGGAATTAGGCCTTTTGTTGATTTTGTGGTTTTATATTTTGTCTTTATGAGAAGATTTAGTTTGCAAACTCATTTTAAATGCAAGTTCCTTTTTATTCTTATTGTGGCTGATGGTTCTGCTAATATACATATTTATCCCCTACTTCCACAACTTAAAAGCATGTCTTATACTAATAGAGAATATCTTTTTTCCATGAGAATTATTATAGACTTCTTGGCCCAGTAATCTATTGAAATAGTTCAGCTGTTTTCTGCCATTCCAGGCCAGCCTGATTACAGGTATCAGTGTGTGTGTGTGTGTGTGTGTGTGTGTGTGTGTGTGTGTGTGTGAGAGAGAGAGAGAGAGAGAGAGAGAGAGAGAGAGAGAGAGAGAGACAGAGACAGAGACAGAGACAGAAAAGAAGATAGAGGAGCGAGAATTTATGTCACCCAACTGCTTTCACTTAAATGGTCCTGTCTTCCCAAGAACTCCAAGTCTACACTGCCTGTCCCAGATCCAGTAAGTCTGTAGTTGCAGACTCTTTTCCAATATATGTTTCTGTATAAAGTAATCATTTTTGAGAACTGCTTATGATTTCTTAAAATTGTACATTTTGAGCACATTTATCTATAATTTTGGTGGAGGTAAAAGAGATTAGAGGGGAAACAATGGAATATCCATTGAAGATATCCATTATCTTTACTAAACATGAGAGTAAGATACACATGAAGAATTAGAACAGATTATAAGTGGCTTAGAAAGCCTTTTGTGTTGACTTCCTTATCATATAGGAAGCTGATTTTGAGTAGATGAAGAACCAATCCAGAATATGCTATTAGAGATTTTTCTGTTAATATATACTTAACATTCTACTCTGATTCCCAAACAGCATAAAGATTCCAGATGAACCATGTGTCTTTATTTTCTGTTTTTCCTCTTTCCAACTAAAGAATCTTTGCTAATATACTAACAATTTTTTGCAACTTATGACTTAACATGTATAAACTAAAATTTGTATACAGAATGATTGGTAGGAAACTTGCCTGTGAAGCAGGGTCTCATGATTTCCATCGACTGCATTAATAATATTGCTGTTACCAGAATAGGACGATAGCATCAGCTTAACAATCTCCGTGGCTCCTTGGGTTGCAGCAAAATGCAGAGCCATGCACTTCCCATTCTACAAAGAATTTTGATTCCAGAATCAGAGTTTAAATTTTCATTTATGGCTATAACTTACATTCAGCTATGAGTTTCTCTTTTTCCAGAATCAAGAACTGTCAGATTTAAGGTGATGAGTAGTGCTCAGCATCATCTATTGAAAAGCATCAGTACAAAATTCATGGCACATAGTTGCGCTTCCTTATAATCCAAGAGCTCTTATTTTCATTACCTTGAAGCCATTATTTTCTCCCAAGAGTATGAAGATCAAGGCGCTAATGAGAAAAGACCATGAAGTCTGTACCTTTAGTCAGATATGCCTGGCAAAAGGTCAGTTAGTTTACAAGCACTTTCACATACATAGCCCTGAAATTAGCTAAAAGATACAGCTCTTTAGAATACAACTAGGATAAAAGTCATTCATGATTTGGCTTCACTACCCGTCACAGACAAAATTAGTATGTTGCTAGGAGGGTAGGCTTTAACTTATTTAGTGGCAGTTAAATTGAATATAATCTTTATAGTACTTGTGTTCACAATTATTATTGGTGTGAAATTTGTTAGTATAAAACTGAGAATACTCTCTTCTGCATGAACAAAAAGAAATAACATTTATTTTCTGCTATATGTATTTTTCTAAGTTGACTATAAAGGAGTTGTAAGGCATTTTAGAACTTACTGAAATTCCAAAAAGTGCTATGTAAAATATGAAAAATTACCTCTATCTTCTCTATGTGAGCACCATTGTCCAGACACATTTTAATCATTTCTAAATTGCCACTTTGAACTGCCAAATGAAGTGGGCTGACTTGCTTGTTATTCACAAAGTTAATGTGACACTGGCGGCTGTACCCATCTTCTTCACCTTTAGAAGAGAGTATCAATTGGAGGAATATTTACATGAAGTAATAAGTTTTCAAAGGAAAGGACATTTAGACTTACACAAAAATCTATGTATAAGTTCTATTAAATGCTTTTAAAATTAATAGCACCTATAAGGACAGGATTCTTTATCAGATAACATGTGAGAAATGCTCCACTCACCAAACTTTAATATTAATTCCATGCATTTTTTGGCACCTGAAAATGCAGCCTGGTGAACAGGAAAGTCTCCCCATTTATTTGACTTACACAGTTTAGCTCCCTTTTTTAACTGGAGAAATAAAAAAGAAAAATATGGAAGATGTACTTAATGAAATCATATTGTTAAGGAACATACTATTTCTTACGAGCCTTTTTGAACGATACAATCACACAGTAAACACAAGTTACATTTACAAGGAACAAAGGTATACATCATTTTCTAAAACACTTTCAACTTTATTCATTATTACAATTTTGTTTCAGTTTATGTAAAGCTATTTTCTAACTTCTTGATTTCAGTGTTAATTTACTTTGATTTGCTTTATTATTTATTCTCATTTGGTCCAGTTATGTCAGCCTATAGACTACATGTTTGTCTCTAAATACGTATGTCTAAATACAGGGAAAATATTTTTAAATTTTATTTCATTTTCCTACACTCTAGGATGATGATGAGGTAAAGTCAAGTGATAACAATACAGAACTTGGCCTAGATAGCATGCAAATAATTATGGACAATTTGAGAGAAAACTATTCACTGGAATTCTTGTAGTGTAGTGAGGAAGAGCATTGCTGGGAGGAAGAGAAGAAGTCACCGAGACAGGTGTCTCCAGCCACTGCAGAAAAGCTTTCCAGGGATGAGGTGGGCTGTTTGTCCAGGGTGTGGCTAATTCTTTTTAGCAAGCAAATCACACAAGACTTCATTTTTCAAAATTCATGACAATTTTTTCTTCTAGTTTTGGAAGTGGGAACAACTGCCTTCCTTCTGCTTTTATGTTGGGGGCTAAGTAAGTGAGTTGTTAACTGCAAGCGCTGTTAAAAAATACAGTGAATGTTTAAAGTTTTAAAAATACACTACAGTAAAGAAAAAAAACATTGCTGTTAATCTCCCTCATAATACTTGCTTTGTTTTGAACACATTTATACTCTCCTTCTTGCCACTTTCTGAAGCAGTTCTGGAAGTCTCCTTTGTGAGAGTTTTCAGGGGTATGAGTAAAAATATAGTAAACGTTGCTGCCCAGAACTGTCCAACCGAGAAGCAGGCTCCTGTAAAGGTAACCGTGCAGCCTCATCTACCTCACCTTCCTGTCTGACACCACAGCACTTCTGGCTCTTCTACAAAGTCAAAAGGACCACAAATTGCAAACATTTCGAATTGTTTAGGACACTGAGGCAATCACACCAAATAACTACAGAGAGGCAAGAAAGAGGACTTCAGAAATACCTCAGAAAATGGCAAGAATTATGGGATACGTGTTTAAAGCGAAGAAAAGTATTTTGAGGGAGATTAAGTGCAATGTGTATTTTAGTGTAATAGTTTTTTTAAATTTAAGTGTACCTTTCACTATATCCTTTGTTCCTTTGACCATTTGGAAGCTAGGAGTCAAATGCATGACTTAAACTTTAATAATATATACTGTGTTATACTTTGTATTTTGTATTGTAGCCTGACCATCAATATCATCTTTCCTGCCTGCATTTTCTTTCCACTTTGATTTTATTTCTCACATTTTCTTGCTTGCTTTACTGTCTTCTATAAGCAATGTCAGGTCCATTTAGGATCTAAGAGATGTAAAGACATACAAAAACATAGAACTAAGTTTTTCCAAAACTATTTTCTATATTTTATTTTTTGCTAGACAGAGAAGATGAAATGATAATATAAATAATAATAGTTCATACTATTTTAGGAAAAGCTGAAGAAAGCAGCAAAATAAGATTAATATACAAACCAAAATTTCCAGGATTTCACTGTTATCTTTGGTACATGTGATCATCACAGCTGTGTTTCCATTTTCTCCTTCCAAATTAATATTAGTACTGCTGTGTTCAATCAAGACCTACACAAAAGGGAGAAATAATTGCCAAAAAGCTAAATTAAAGGTTTTAAAATAAAGATTTGTCTCCTAGCAGACTATAAGCTCTCCAAGCTCATGGACCATGATTGATTCATCTCTTTGCATCCCATTCCCATAGAATCTATCATGAAATCTTGCTCAGAGTTGGTACCACTGAATTCATCAAAAGTACAAAATAATAACTTTAATATCACATCAGTTAGGGAAATATTGAATTGTATATTGGAAATAGAATGGCAATTATAAGTACTTAACACAGTTTCATTTAATACTTATCACTTGTGTTAAGTGAGGTACATTAATAATCTTCAACAAATATTTATGGAGCCTTTCAGAATGTATACATAGGACAGAATGAAGGGAGGGAAGGATAAAGGGAGAGAAAAGAGAGGGAAGGAAGAATGGCAGGAGGGAAGAAGAGAGAAAATATTTTCTGTCCCCTATCCCTATTTTGGGGAGCGGAGGCATTTATGGAAACATCAATAAAAATTCCACTCTCTTCAGCAGAGGAAATAAAGCACCGTGAAACAGTTTGGAATAACTTAATTAATTAACACTTGGTCTGAAAAAACTTTTTTATGGTGACAGAAATTAGTACCCTGATTAAAATGAAGTAATTTTTTCTGATGGAATTTAGCTAAAGACATGCTGCCTGATCAGCTGGTGACTGCTGGCTGATAATTGGACAAATCTATACATCTGTAACCAATCTTTATTTCATATTAATCTAACAAAAATTTATGTGTCTTTCTCAAGACAAAAGTATTTGATTTATCAGAGACCTTTTCTTTTGCAATATTATTATAAGACTATCGAATGAACATATATTAAATTCTTTTAAGAAGTTTATTCATCAAACTGTTTCTTAAAATCCTTGACTTTTAAAAATCAAATCAAACCTCCTTCTAGAGTTCATTCTTAATAAAGTGCCCAATATGAATGTCAGCAGATGAATTATGCTTACTAATGAACTCTGCTCAGAAGAGAAAATTAATTGAGGTTTTAATACACAAAAGCACATGGGGAAAATTGGTATTGGATGAAGGGAAATTAGAATGAAAGTTTCACTTTAGAGATCATAGGTGTTTTTCCACCTATTCATAAGAATCTTTGAGGTTCACATATGAAAAAAATCTACCAAGGTCTAAAAAAAGAGATTTTTCCCTTTTATTTATTTTACAATCATAGATTTGAAGCATTTATTAAGGTGCTGTTATTTTTCTATTGTAAGAACAATTTTTCTATCATAAGAATGATTTTTCAAAGTAAATTACACGAGGCAGTGATCCAGAGACAGCAACTAGACTGTGCATCTCTTAAAGTTTAACTATGACCAGGCAAGTCTGGAGGGTTACAGGTGCGCTGTCCAAATGTCTCTTTGATAAGAAGCCAGGGAGCTAAGTGGGAAACTCACAAAATGGGCTACTGGGAAGGGAAGCCTCAAGAACAAAGGTCTCTGAGAAATAAGGCCACCTTTACCCCCCAAACCAGAGGGCCTTGGAGAATACTATAACTTAAGGTGATACATGGATGACATTTAGATTAGTAAGTCATGATCCCTCCTTCTAGAATAAACAGTGCAGAAGAAAAAAACACTGATAAGTGACAAACTCATGGGCTAAGAATTATGATAGAACTGCAAACCAGGCTCAGGGTGGAAGCATGAACGAGGCTCCACTCACTCCTTGTAGGCCAGACCTAAAGGAACCAAGGTCTCAGAGGCTGAGAGCAAAGTTTTTGACCTAAAGGGAGCTCATGGATTTCTACTTTAGCTTGAGCTTAACAATGAGCTTTGGATGTGCCTTAGCACAACAGCCAAATCATCATTCCCAATATTGTTTCCATAGGAAAACTTAATATGAGTTCCAAATAGCTTACCTTAGAAATGAGCTCCTAGAAACCCATCCCACTGATAAAGAGCATTTTTCTGTAAGGAGCCATTTGTGTGTCTAGAGTGTCTGTCAGACTCTGAGGTCTAGTCTAAAAGTCATGGCCTAAATGTCTACATAAAGCATTTATCAAGACTTCTTCTATTTGAGTAAACCCAAAGGCCTTGAAAAATAAATTCCTCAAAAGTTTCTTCTTAACACATCTTCTGTTAACTAATCCTGTGATATGATCTAGTTTAACAGAAACAGTAGGTCAGAAAAAAAGCCTTCTGCATTGAGGTATGCAATCATCCCCTCCCTCCCTTTCCTCCTTCAGTCAACGATGTGCCAGTGAAGTCTGAGCTTGAGAATTTAAAGTTGACAGCCAAATTCCTCTTGCATGCTCTGATCGGTTACGTGGCATTAGGCAAGTCATTCCTTTCTCTTTGTGCCTCATCTTACTCAACTGTAAAATGCAGATACTAATAGTCTTAATCTGTAGTTGTTTTTAAAATGCTGATTTCACAAACTAAACACACATCTCTTAAAAGCACTTCATAAATTAAAACTATTGGAGAAAGATAATATCATCATCCCCATCACCAGCAACACCAGGTGGTGTGCAAAGTAAAACGAATATTGAATGTTTTATGTAGCCTTTTCCCTTATAACTGAGGCCAGCCAATTGGGCCTGGGCAGAGAGCCAGCTTGCAGCCCCTGCTGAACTGGCACCTCCTGCTCCAGGCAGCAGCCTCACCTTTGCCATCTCATTGTGCATGCCCTGCACAGCTATGTGAAGAGGTGCCATCATGTTGTTGTTTCGTAGGTTTGGGTTTGCTCCATGGATGAGAAGAAACTTAACACTTTCAACTTGGTTGTTTTCTGCAGCCCAGTGCATAGGGGTATTCCCATAATTGTCCATTAAATTCAGCACTAGAAAAAAATTCCAAAATAGGATTAACTTTTGTTCAGACTGTGTTCACTGCTTCCTGCTTCAAGCACTGAACCAAGTGCCAGTATGATCAGCTGAATGTTCTTTATGAGAAATAGAAATACAGCTTCAATCTCCAAGAAGCACCTAGTGGGCACTTTGGGGGATATGAAAATATGACACTGATCTTGTCAATTGAGTTAAAATTTATAACCATAATATCTGTAAGAAATAGGTCTTCCCACTGTTTCATATCTTTACATATGAATTTGGGGATTTTGAGAAAATATTAAGATTATATAAGATCAGTAATCATATGTCAGGCAATCTACAAGGTTTCACGTGACTGTGATTCCAGTCAAGTATCCATTAGCCTGCGAGGTATTACTACCATGACCACTTTTTAGAAAGAAGGCACTGAGGGTTAGAGAGATTGAAAATATTTAACATCATACACTTTGTAAGGATTTGTGTAAATTATACAATCTCTTTAAACTTCAGCTTTTCATACTCAAACTTGGTACAAAATAATACACATAAACACACACACACACACACACACACACACACACACACACACACACCTTACAATGCTTTGGGGAGAATAATGTTAATTCACACATTTAAAGATCTCAGCAGAATGCCTGGGCTATAATAAAGGTTCCAAAAATGTTAATGAGAAAAAGATACACCGCTAATAAACAAGAAGACTAGAATCTGAGTTTGAACCTTGATGCTATACAGAATTCTCACATATTTCTATAACACAACAAATCATACTAATTATCCCGTGGGCTTGTTATGAGAGTTACATACCCTTTCTTCCTGAAGTGTTCTCTATCTACTCTGAAGTAGACAGAGCTGTCTGATTTATAAATCATTTCAGTCAGTGTCTATATATCACTTATGAGTGATTAGTTTTCTCCCTCCCCAGACATTATTTTCTATGCAACAATGGCCCTATAAGGGAAACTTCTTTCCTTCTACATTTCTGGTTGTCTACTGGATTTCCAAGGTTCCAACCTCTGGGCTATTCAAACTCAGTATGACTCACATCTCAAAGCCTCACTTCTTTCTCTCCTTTTACTTACATGCCTCCTTCTGGGGAGGGTTACACTATCAGCCTAATCTCTTAAAGTAGGAATCTCAAGATGAGTTCCAACTCCTTGTCACTTATTCTTCATGTTCAATCTACTACCAAGCACTGTTGACTCTACTTGCCAATGTCTCCTGAACTCTCTCTCTTTCTTTATTCAAATCTCACAACTTGGATGAACCCTTATCTTCTTATGCTGATACATTTTTGACTAGACTCCTACTTCTATTCCATCTGCCACAATATTTATGGAATTATATAATAAAGGTCTCATCCTACCATGTCACTGTTGAATCTCTGTACATCCACCTCCTTTAATATCTACAGCTCAGTTTCTCAGAGAAGGTGGTTTTCCAGTGATGGGAGAGGGAGAAAGGTACATCTTCCTGAGTGTTAGTTTTATTCAAAAATAAGTAATTGAAATGTAGGACAAAATATACTAACGCAGTAAAAAACATACATAAAATACATTTGAATTTTATGATCAGTCTACAAATCCAAAGAGTCTCAGCTTGCTAAGGGTGTCCCAGATTCCTGCACTATCCTTCACAGTAGTTCAGTAGTAAAATTCAAAAAGTCTAAGTCTATGGGGAAACTCACATTCTGGGTAATTATATTCAGACCTTTTGTATATTTCAGACCTTTTAGAATAATTTCATACCACTCTTTCCCGTGACTTTAACATGATGACAGATTTTTGAAATACGTGTAAAGTGTTTTTTACCTTCACAAGAAGAACCGCTGATAATCATCTTCATCAGTTCTAGCTGACCCTCTCCTGCTGCATGGTGCAAAGCAGAGACATTTTCCTCCTCATATTTGTTTAATTTCCATCGGTTCTTGATAATGTGTTGTAATCTACATTCATTTCCTTCAAAAACCACCTAGAGATGTATACACATAAAACTCTTACCTTAAGAATACACAAAACTTACAATGTTAATTATTTTACATTCTTTAAAAGTTTACCATTACCCAAAGCTCTAATGCTTATATAAAAGTAAATTTTTTTCTTGATTTAAAAAAAATTGTATTGCTACATACTTGTCATCCCTAATGATCACATTCAGTATAAGAAATTTATACTAAGTCTTCAGCCTTTTTTCCCATGTTCCATGCCTCTCTTTAACACTACTTCTCTTTCCCCTGTACAAAAGCTTTGTTTCAATTTTTCCCTATTCTTGAAGAACATGGAATGGTTACAGAACAAAGTAAAAGCAGATTTCTAAGAATTGATTAAGTAAGCACATTAAGCACATTAAGTAAATGATTTGGATTTCTGATCATAAACAGCACATGCTGTAGAAATAAAGGCCTTGACAAAAGTTTTGAAGTAAACTTAAGGAATGTGCTTTGAGAACTAATGAATATAATGAAATACAGAAGAATTTTTTCCTGATGAAAATGAATTCAAAATTATAGCATCAGAAGTTTTGATTAGAAAAAGTGTTTCCAGGAATGCAAAGATTACCAAGTCCAGGAATCCAAATTTACTGTTCTTCCTTTAGTTTCTCTACTTATAGTCAATCGCCATCCATCTTTCCCGAATACCAGAGCTAGAGTCATCCTGAATCTTGTCTTCTAATTTACTTGGTCAGTAATCTGACATGACTGTCCACTCTCCTGGGAAGTATTCTTTCTCTTTTGGACCTGGGTACCTACCCAGGCCAAGTGGTGCAGGTTGAGCTCCTCTTTGTTCTCGGAAGACAAGAAAAGCTAATACTCATGCGTACTTACCTGGGCCAGCTGTCAGGACATGGGCAGGTTACCTGATTCACTGCCCAAAGGCATACCATTAAGTAGTCAAGTCAAAATCTGAATAACAGGTGCATGCAATATATATTTTGGCTGCATGATGAGTACTAAAAATCAATACACAATAGAAATTGAGGATGATCTCAAAATTCACCAACACAGAATGAACAATTTGAAAAAATGAGATATCATAAAGCACAAGAACAGGCATGAGAGGGCAGGCTTAACATGTTTTAGCCCCATCAGCTAAAAATGCCTATAAATGTGCAGTTCTTAAGAGATGCTTATGTACACTTATGGCAGGCAAATAGTAAGAGCTGTTTTGCATATCTTATTCTCTCCTAACATTTTGCTTGTTTACACTCTTCATGTTCTTCATCATGTGTAGACTGGAGGTGATACATCATGAATCAGAGAATTTTGGTTTTTTCTTGTAAAATTCTGAGATGTTAATCTTTATATTCATCTTATGAGATGTGAAAAAAATCCCAATAGGATTTGTTACGGTTTTTGTGTTGTGTCAACTTGAGAAGTCTAGAAGTTTAACTAAGTGACACAGCACTTAGAGGGGTGTAGAGGACAAGCAGTTAATATACCTTCTAGGATATTGTTCATCGTGTCAATTTGAGAAGGTCTGAACTTTAAGTGATTCAGCAGGGGGCCAGGGCCCCTAGTTTGTAACATCCTCAGCCTGTGCAAGAGGAGGGCAGGCAGATGGTGTGAGTGCTACGGCCACCCCAGGGAAGCAGCACATTTACAATAAAAGGCAAAAGAGGAGGGATCCATTGCTGCTTCTTCCGGGGAGCTCCAGTCTTCACCTTCAGCTTGGATGTCATCTCCTGGCTTCTGGCATAGATTGTTCAGCTCCTGCTTGGAACTCTTCAGCCTTCATCATAGACACTTCAGTCTTCCATTGTAGATTCTTCAGAGTTGCATTTCAGACCCACAGGCCTCTTGTGGGGACTTGCACGGGACATTGCAGTAAGCTCCAGCCCTTGGGCTTGGCCCTTCAACTTCTAACATGCACCTCTAACACCCTCTGAATGCTTCCTTATTCAACTTTTGTGGCTGACCATTGTAAGCCAATCTTGTAATTTCTTATACAGTTACACATCTAGTGTTATATCTATTTTTCTAGTAAACCCTGACTGATTAAAAAAAAAAAAAAACCTCATAAGAATTAAATTACTAAATTACTGCTTGAGATGTAGCTTAATGGTACAGTGTTTGCCTAGCATTACAAGGCCATGGGTTTGATCTCCATCACTTAAATTACTAAAATTTAAATAAAAGATCATTTTCTTTAATACTCTTAATGTTAATATTGCAAAAGCTTTTTTTTTACAAAATCCTTAATGTTATAACTTGTTTCTATTAGCCTTGAATTATTATTTAAATTTAAATGTATTGGATAAAAAATTATATTGTACTCATCCTGAAACTGACTAATAAATACTCTCATGACATCCATATTAACAGACAAACTATTTCCTGATTCAACTAGTAGAAGCTTCTTAGAATCTATTTTATGCAGAAAACTAAGCTCTTTCAAAATTGTTAGTTACTGAGGTATTTAATTATCCTTCAGTTGACTAACAAGATTTTTATTCAAAGTTGCTTTCAGAATTCTTGCCCATATTTGAAAGTCAATAAGGGGTGTCATTCACAAATTTAAAAGCCGAGCCTTAGTCTTTTGTCATCATTTTTACATTGTTTAGATATGATGTTATCATTAAGTACACATCGCATTAGAGACGTCACACTAGAAATGCCACTAAACTCTGATATTTGGCTGCCAAAGGCATAATTAAATCAACAGTTGAACTGCAGATTTTGGTTCAAATCTAAGGCAAGGCAAATACGGTCATGGCCCTAAACTGCACACAGTGGGCTCCTTGGGAGCTTAGCATTTGCTGCTCCATGTGCTTCTTCTGTGCTGTGCTCTGCTTGAGATCTGCAAGACTTGTTCCAGAATGTCGGGGTCCTTCTTCCTCACCTTGTTCTCAATCTACCTGACTTTCAGCAGCCCACAAATTTCTGTCTCCTAGGAAGCCTTCCTGATAGTGTCACCATCCCTTCCACTCATCCAGCCTCTCTTACTCTCTCTGAAACACAGGATGGTATCTTTCAGATACCACAAGAATTGTAGTCACTCGGTACTTAGCAGAATATGTGCTGTGCCTTTTTAGAGTTTCAGAGTTTTCTTCTCTTTAGTCTCTAATATAATGAGCATTGGTAGCTATAACTCACACAAACAAGCCTTTTCAAGATCCTTGAAGTTGTTTATGCTTAAAGGAGTTCTTAAGACAACAAAAAAGTTTGAGAAATACTAGTTCTCCTTTAATCCCTCACGCATTGTCTAAGCTAAAAGTAGTCTATGTATTTGTAAACTTACTTGTTCATGATAGTTGTATGTGTAAAAATGCTTTTATATAGGGAGGGAAGGAAAGAAGAAATTACTAAGAAATCACTCTTCTATACAGCAGACTTTTAAAGATATATCACTTTCAAATTGAAAAACTGAATTTCATACAAGCTACATATACCTTTAGTGACTGCTGGATGTGACACTGAACATTCAGCCACTTCTAAATTTCCTCACATGCGTTAGTAGATTTTAAATGAGCTTCCACTGGAAATAGGCTCAATTTTAAAGAAGTGTTTACCTCAATCCAATTGGCAGGATTTTAGCACTTGAATTTAAAATGATTTTTGGATGCTAAATATGGACTCTACTGTCTACCTCCATAACTGAAAGATCAATTTACAGGTCAGTTTATTGGTGAGCTGTTAGTATATACACAATGCAATACTCGTTAGAGGAAGTCTTAGGTTCACATGCTCACCAGGTACTACTGAACTCAAAATGACAAAACAGTACCTAAACAACTTACAAGAGTACATGAGCTAGACAGTCTCAACTGAAAGACTTGGTTCTGAGCTTTGAAAACAACTAAATAAAGTTCTGAAGGTAAGCCTGCAATGTCATTTAGACAAATTATACCAATGTAGCTTCCTATTATCATGTGGTCACTTCAAGCTCTTGGATTCTGAAACATTTCTAGATTCAGTTCATAATAAAGTGTTTGCATTATTTTTAGAGAAGTTAATTCTAACTAAGCCCTTTAAATCAGATATTAAAATCCATCCATTAGTTGGCTTTAATGAAGTACATGTAAGTAGGAACAGGGCCAATAAAAAGGAAGAAAAACAAAACTTAGAATAATTGAAAGGTTAAATACTCAGTATTAACTTTTTTGAAAGAAAATTATTGAAAAATATAAAAGGAATCTGAGAGTTCTTTTTCCATATTTTGTAAGTTTTCTGTGATCCTTTGATTTTGCTAGCATTCCTGAGATTGTGTGTGTGTGTGTGTATGTGTGTACGTGTAGAAACTATGCTATTTATCGTATCTTTCCCAGCCCCCAAAAAAGTTCTTGCGTTCCAATTTTTCCCTAGCTCTATATATGCTGCTTTCAAATGTGTCCAAGCTATGGGAGCTTTATGAAATGATCTCAAACTACTGCAGGTAATAAAAGGAAACATCTAAATCTCTCATTCTAAAAGCCCTAATATACCCTTAAATAGCATGAATGGTTCCACTTGATTTAGTTAATTAAGACTGAATAAAGATAATTAAACAAAAACATGAAGAAAAACTTGAAGTCTGGAGCAGTGGCATGCATCTTTAATGTCAGCAATCTGAAAGCCTGGGGTAGGAAAATCACAAATTCAAGCCTAGCTTGGGCAATTTAGGGAGGTCCTGTATCATAATAAAAAGTTAAAAAAATGGCTAAGCATGGGTAGCTTCTCAAACCCAGTGCACCTCTTGTGTGGCCACCAGCCAGAATACTGTCAGATTCTAAATGAAAACCTTCCAAAGTTCCAAGCGAAATGGCACAGGCTATATAATTGTCCTGATTTTAAGCAGTTGCTTTATTCTGTTAAAAACAAAGAAGGAACTTTTGGGTAGATCTCTGGAAAACGCAGCTGCCCACCCCTCATCAAGAAAAAGCTGAGCAAGCAACCTGCACACAGAAAGGACAAAGCAGTCACCATGCAGATGTGTCATGAGCACGGTCCAACAGGCTCGCCAGCTGTGAGGAGCACTTCCAGGGTGCAGTGCGCACCTCCTAAATCGAGCATCTTCTCTCCTCATCACGCTGATACCGGTTCGGATGTCTGAACCGGATAAGGAAACCACCAGCCCACCCCGCCCAGACTTGGAGCCCGTCCCGATGGCCCGGGGTACCTTAAAGTCCTTGGAGTCAGGCATGCTGTCGTCAACGCCCTGGTAGACTGCGCCCTGGGGCTCCGTCTCCCCAGATCTCAGCAGCTTCCTCAAGCTACGCTTCATCGTGTCCACCTGGGCGCCGCCGAGGAGCGCAGCTGCGCCCCACTCGCGGTCACCTGCGGAGAGAGAGCGCGGTCAGAGACGCGGTTGGCTGGGTCGGCACGCGCCGGCTGGGCTCCGATTCCGAGCTCCTCACCGGCCGAGATCCGAGATGAGGGGAGTGGAAAACTCCGCGTGGTGTTCGGCGGAGAACTTGGGCCACTTGTGGCGCGGTGGCTTGGGGTACTTGTAGTGCGGAGAGCAGGCGGGGCGGAGGGAGGAGGAAGGAGGCAAAAACGCAGAGCTGGAAACTGTCCGCCCTGGACGCACCCGTTTGGAGGACAACTTGACTGTCCCTGTTGGGGCGGTGCGGAGGGAGGGATCCAGGATCTATCTTAGGGGCGGGCCAAGCGTGAGGGTGGGAGGTGCACCACTGAGTACACTAGGGAAATAATTTTTGGTGCCCCCTCAAAAAAAATATCCTCCTGGACTTGTCTTGCCCTTGTTGGCCTCCTTTTGGGGACCTCTTGGATTTGGAAATAATATAGGGATTTGGGTGTTCCTTTAATTTTAATCAAAACTTCACTTTCCTGAGGCTTGGGAGAATTGTTATATCCTAGCACTGGTTTGAGGGACTAAGTTATGTCTCTTTGAAGTCAGGTTCCCTTTCCTGAGGGTAACAAAATGAACCCCCTCATGCAATGGTGTTTAAGAATGATTATAAAAAGTGACAGTCAGGTTAAACATAAGTCACTGTTGACTTCTTCTTCTTCTTTTTTTTTTTTTTTTATTTAAAGGAGAAAAAAAAACCCAAAACAGTATAAGGGTACAAGTAAATACAGACACAAAAAAACCGGTAAGACATCACTAGTTAATAGATTACATACTGTCATCTTAGAAATAGTTGTTCAAGTTACAGGATTAAAGAATACAAAGTGGACATTCAAACAGTGAGACTGCAAACAGTTGTGTTCAATGATCCAGCAAAAACTCAGTAATATGGTCATCTATCTTAACACACCTAAACACACTTGCTTGTTGTATCCTTTAAAGCACTTTTTTTTCATCTCTTTTTTACAACAAAATTTACACATTTTGGGTTTTACTACTCCCATAGTTCTTACTACTTTAGTCACTGTTGACGTCTACAAGCTTGTTTGCCTTTGGCTTTGTTCAAGGGGTTTCACTTTCAGGAGTCTGCACTGCACTTACTATTCCAGAGCATCGTCGTAAATTGTGAGCAGTAGGACATGTAACCTGTGATGAAGAAGAGTCAGGTTCTACATCTGAATGTAGAAGACAAAGCCTCTCACATCACTATTATGCTTAGACCACATGGTAAAAAGTAAGAAAACTTGTATCCAAAGCTGATAGCACTTTTCACAAAACCGAACTTAGCTTAGATAATCTTGCCTTGACAAACTCTGCTTTTTTAAGATTAACATCAGTATCTCCTGGCCTTACTCAAAACTCACATGAAATAAGGAGCTGGCATAAAGCCCGCACTCAAGACAGCTTGGTGAATTGCTTGGCATAGCAACTACATCGGGCTGAAGTTAGTAGCAGCGGAATGGTCATGAGGTCATTAAGAAACCATGAGAAGATCTCTAGAAGTATTTCAGTTCATATGGCAGCTTGCCATCCATTCCACTTTGGAGCGGAATTCCTAAGAAGAATGATGGTGAATGTATCAATGATTATCCATTAGTGATAAGTGTGGCTTGCTGAAAGCTCGGTGGGAGACAGACATGTCCAATCTAACCACCTGAACAGCTTTTCCACTCTGAATCTATGTTCAGGGAGAGCAGAGCAGGGATCAGTTGCACATCTTGCTGTGATTTAGTTGGAGTAAATAATGCATCGGGAAAACCCTATGAAGGAAAGGATCAGAGATGGGTAAAGAGAATAACTTTTGTTAAACTTTTGTTTTCTGTCTAGCATTTTACATACATCAGCTCTACTTTCTTTAAAAATAGAAATGCCTCATAAAAATAATAGGATTTTTTGTTATTATGAATTACTGTTATCCACTGTTTTTCTCTCAATGTACAACTAAATAGGATATCTAAACCCAAAGAGACTAAAAAAGAGTTTTATAAGGGGTCATATTGGAAGATGAGACAGAGGACATGTCATGGGAGCAAGCAGAAGGTGGCTGTATTGGTCCCCAAAGAAGGATTTGGGGACCAGGATCTCCTGTGGTAGAGAGGAGGCTGGAAGAAGGGTCACTTTAGGTCAGTGACCTTTCTCCGTATTATCCCTTGGTATCCTGCCAGCATGACATCTCCACAGAATGATGGTATCTGTGTTCTTGCTTGTGCACCCCATTTACATACATAAATCCCAACAATGTTATGTAAAAACAAAAAAGCATGTATCTTTCTGACTTTTATTACTTTCTGCTTTGATGCTGAAAAATATAGATGGTTGAGGTTAGATTGAATTTTGTTCTGCTTTCTACTTAAGATTGAAATGCTAGTTAATTTTTCTTTTTTGTGCTGGACTTCTCCATATGAGAAATTTTTGAGCAGTATCTTCATAAGATCTCTTAGGAATTCTTCATTTCTTATTAATTACTAAATTATTTATCCCCCCAAAACATTTCTTTTATAGGCAGGACTTCCTCTACAGCAAATTAGTGAACTTAAGATGCATAATATGGGCAGGAACAACATGATATCTAGCTATTTACAATTAGGATCTTATTTCCTTTGAACTTTAATTATTGATGAATAGTAATAAAATGCAATTGTTTTGAACCATTTATAATTTCACAAGAATAATTGTTAGAGAAAATATTCATTTATAGAAATGGCCAGTAGACAATTTTTGTTATCAGTTTATGTTTTGATATTATATTGGGCCTCATACAAGAAAGTAAAAAATAATAATAAATTATGTACTTAAATGCTCAGGAGAATAAATTTAGATTCATGCATATATCACCTCCATTATATTTTTATCAAAATACCAAACAATCAGAATTATTCTTATTTGGCTCAGTTTACCAAAATTTTACAAAGATGTTTATTTTTATATATCATTAATCTGCTACTATAGTTTTAGATTTGACAGTATATTCCTGTGTTATATTTAGTATTTTGTATTTCTAGTCTATGTTTTACATGTATACATACTTATGTGTATGTTTGTAGTAATAATGATATATTTCTACTTTGAATTATAATTTTATTAGTGCTAAATATATTTATGATGTTTAACTTAAGATTGCCAACCTGCCTAGATTAAGGCACTCCTGGGAGATGGTAAAGAACCCTTCTGGATGTCTGAAGGGTTCTATACTATCTGGATCCAGAGATGATTGACATGAAAGCCACCTAAGCAAGCAGAAAAGTCTTGCCGTGATTGTGAGCAGCATGTGCAATAAGCTTGCATCCAGATGGAATGAAAAAAGGGAATTCAGCATGCATTTGAAAAGCTGCATTTTGCTTTAGTGTGTGTCTATTGCTACTGCCATCACCTGTGGACACTGGACTGTGGTTTCTTCAGCCTTTCAACGTGGACTCACATCTACAAACCTCAGGAAGCTCCCAGGTCTTCCATATCTCAGTATGACACTGCATCCTTGATCCTTCTTGTTCTGGAACTTCCAGCTTCTTGGATTGATCACCCATGGATCCTCTGGCTCTTGAGTGTGAAGATGGTCATTGAAGGACTACTCACCCTCCAATTCTATAAGTCTGTCCAATAAATCCCTTGCATAGTTCTATATGTAAACATGTATTTCCTATTGATTCTACTCTTCTAGGAAATCCTAAGTAATACTTTTTTAATGAGAAAGTTCAACTAATCTATATTTATGATCACTAATACATTTACATTTGTTCTGTTTATAGAGATTTGAAACTTACCTACTTTCTTTTGTATTGTTTTATTTACTTTTGATGATTAAGTTTAAATTGTGAATTTTTAAGGTCTAATGATCTGAAGATTGCATCTTCAAAATTTTCTTGCAATTTTCCTTATTTGTAACAATGATACTTAAAGCTAGTGTGGTGAATTGAAAACTGATGGTAAACTTAAGCTATTTTGAAGATAACTTTATGCAATATAACAATCACTGTTAAATTCCTATCATCTTGCTTTGAAATCCTGTATTGCTATTGTTTTTTGTTGTTGTTGTCGTTTTGCTTTTGTTGTTATTGTTTTATTGCTTCTTGATTTTTCTGAATACTTTTTCTCTTTAAAATAATAATAAAAAAGCACCAGCGGAACTAAATCAGTACGGTGCTCAGTGTAGATGGCCTACATGAGGATTAATGTGTACAAAGGAGCCCTGGAGAGGAAGAGTAGTGTTGTTAGGAGCTGTTGGTTTAGGGCTGTTGTTTCTCCCAGAAGAGTTTGTCATGCTGGCTTCCCAGACATGAACTTTGCTATTATCATCAGAGGAGCTCAGGCCTTGATGCTGAGAATGGTTATGGTTCACTTTGGGGGAGCTCTGGTTCTTACTTTGAACATTGTTTCTTGGCTCTGGAGGGTAAGATGTATGCTGCTCAATCTCCAGGAGAAGATTGTCACATTGGCTTCCTGATATGAACTTGGCTGTTCTCATTGGAGGAGCTCAGGAACTCACTGTCACGAAGGCTATAGTACTTTTCAGAGGAGTCCTGGTCTTTATTTGGTCTATTATTTCTTGGCTCCAGTGTAGAACCCTCAACCAATTGGCACAGATCTTTCATTCCACTGGCATAGACTTTCTAGCTTCCACCGCTAACCTTGGGGCCTTCACAACACAGATCCATGAAACAGACTTGCATGAATCATTGTTGTGAGCTCTATGCCTCCATCTGGACACATGGGAGGCCCTGTCATGGGCCCTAGGTTTTCAGCTGAACTCATGCAAGACTTGCCATGGATCTTGGCCTTTAGCTGGATTCTCTAGGTCTGTAGTGTGTTGACAGATTTCCTGTACTTTATTTGTATTTGACTCTTGGAGTGACTATCATAAACAATACTTTAAGTTATGTGTTCTGTATATAATTGTTTTCCTTGCAACCCATGACTACAAGTATCAATCTCAAGAGTAGATGACTGTCTATCTTTCCCAATTACAATTCAGTAAGTTTAGCAAGTTGCGTTTCATGCTTATTTCACAACCTCTTTTGTCCCTATTAAATATATCTGCCTGGGGGCTGGGGATTTAGCTCAGCGGCACAAGCGCCTACCTTGAAAGCAGGCAGTTGTGAGTTCAATCCCCGGTACTGATAAAAAGGAAAAAGACAAAAAAAAAAAAAAAAATATATATATATATATATATATATATATATATATATATATATCTGCCCGTTCACTGTTTATGTTTTGCAGTTATGTTCCTCTATCAA